TGAGAACCTATAGGGAATATGCCATGTTGTGCTTAAAGGGTAAAAGTTTGGTAGAAAATTTGTATTATGGCCACTTCTCTGGGGCACCACTGCACCACAGCTCATACTGCTAAAGGCATGGCAGCCACAAGCAAGCACATCACATTTTTTTCTAGCTCTCCTATCAAAAAGTGTGAAACCTGATTATAAACCAAATCATTATAATAATATAAAATGATTATTCAGAATCTAACCCCGTTTCAATGACATCAGGTTCAACAACTATGAGCCAATCGACCACCATGACTTCATCTTCCTCAACAGTGATGTCCACCTCTGCCAGTATGTTTCTGCTCATCACGTAACAGTACACTAGTTTCTTCCCAGGCATTGTTTCATTGTTTCAATGGGCCAAATAGATAATATTCTGATGATTGTTATCTTATTATTGCTGTCTCCATTCACATCCAAAAATGTCAACCCTCTCTGCATCACAGGCAGCACAGATGTAATGAATGGAACCACTATGTCAACTCCTACTTCAATGAACATGGTAAGTTCTCCTTCTCAAGATAAACAAGTTATTTAAATTTATTTCCATCACTTTTTGATTTTCATCTTTACCTTTGATCTATTGATCTTCTTCTCTTCTCAGACGCAGATATACTGCCCCTCATTCAACTGCTCCTACTATGAATGCTATTCAATGTACATCAATCAAAATGCCACTTTATGTTCTCCTGGAGAATGCTGTCAGGTAAGCATTCAATTAAACAAATGTAATGCAAATTTAAGTCATTTTGAAAAAATATGATGCGCAAACCTGTATTAACTGACATCTACATGCATTCAGAAATGGTTTATGGAAAGAAATATCCAAGCAGAGAAAAATATGCTTTGCAAGTAATGCTTTCTAATGTCATTATGCATTCCATAAGCTGTGGAGGTCAATGGAGATGTGGTACACTGCGAGCTGCACTGTATCCTGTGCAGAGAGCTGTTTCAACACCTCTCAGACCAACTGTTCTGTGAACTGCTGTAACTCCACTGGATGCCTCAGTGACTCTTTTGCATCCATGATGATGACAACCACAGGTGAAGAGCCAATCGTTCGCGTCTTTCAATTCTGACTGTAGCGCATGTTTGATCTGCTTTCTCTCTCCTTGTTTCTATGTCCTCACCTCATCATTTTAGTGGCAACAACCTCCACGACAAGATCACCCCAACCGGAAACTACAACTACTACAAGCACTACAACCGAAGACAAAGTAAGGACTGAAGCTGTGTATGGCACAAAAATACACACAGAAACTTTAAACTAAGGATCAAGGTAGTTTCTTGTATGTATTTAAATAAAACTCTCTTTTCTGTTTTTGAAATGTTACCTTCATAGAAAATGTAGCTAAATTAATATCTTAGCAAACAGCGGTTATTTAGTGACTTTCCACCAATCTTGCGAGGTAATATTGATTCATATACCAAGAGTTTATGCAGGGATTTTTGTGGGGTCAGCTATATATATTGTGCTAATAGTATAATCTTTTTCCTGTGTTTTCTTTTCAGCGAAACAAATGTCATATGGGTACATGCACAGGTGAAACGTGCTACACAGGATTCAAAGATCAGATGCTCCAAACTTGCTCTTCCGCACAGCCACACTGTCAGGTTAGATCTTCTAAAAGTCCTGGTTATATCTTAAGGACAAATGTGAATCCATGTTTCTATTTTTATATACTACTAGCCCAGTGATATACCCTGATTATGAATATTATTTTCATGAATGTGTTTAATCTACTGGAGCTCTTGCCAACCCCAGAAGCTTTTGCACACATAATATCCTTTTTTCTCTTTTCTTTTTTTTAACATCTTTTACACTTCCCTTACCGAAAATGCGTTTTGTTCTTTGTATCTAATCAAGCTCCTAAATTCTCATAAATTGTTATGCTTATCATAGCTTGCAGTAAAAGAGTATGCATACTGATAAAGGTACACTTATATGATGGGAAAAATAAAAGCCTTTCATAATTTTTTGAGGTCACACTATGGAACAGCCTTCAAACTATTGTTTCACAATTTAAACATCCGGAAAAATAAGTAGATAACTTACAAGCTTTTTTTAAAGGGGTTTCATCAGTCAGTGTTTTCTTCTTTTTTTGATCATCTCTACATATTGTAATTCCAACTTTAATTGAATGTTTTAACTTACACAGCTAGTATGTTTCTCGCTTAAATCATCAGCAGTTTTAAGAGAATGCCTTTTCAGTTTTTTTCTCTCAATATTGTCTTTTCAGTTGAAAAAAGAGACTATAAATTCCGCCTTGACGTGGACAGCAGGCTGCGGCAACTGCACTGGCCAACCTACCTGCAAGACCTCAACGCAGCCTCCATGTCACCTGGAGTGCTGCAACGCCACCATGTCCTCTTCCTGTCTGATGCTGAACGGCACTTTGAATGTTCCCTCTTCCGCCACAAGAGGCCCCTATCTTCACTCACAGTTTATGGCCGCTTTTCTTTGCCTGCTGGCAATCTCTTTGCTTCTGTGAGTAGCAGAGCATTCAATTGCTCTACCGGTGTGTTTGTCCATACATAGCCAGGCCACAGCATGGAGCCATTCTGGAAAAATATGATGTCGAGAGGTAAATGCTTTTCCTCCATGCCTGTTTGAGATTCATCTGTGATTGTATAAATATGAAAAAATCAAAAAGTCTATTACAATGTGATATCGTGTGTCCTCATTCTTATAATTCATGACTGATTTATATCTGGTCTGGAACCAACAAAACTGGCATTATGACATGTTTTTAAAGTTTAAATTTAGTTTAAAAAAACATGCCACAAGGAACTTAGTCCCCAGTAATTGGCATTCAGGGTGTAAATCCCCTCTGTGATATATGTGACACAAGAAAAGTATGTCTAAGTTAGATTTTTAGAATGATTTCAAATACTAAATAACTTATAGTTTGGTTTGAAATGATCTTGCTCACTGACTGATATTGATATCATATAATTCCTAAAATAAAAAAAACAAGTGAAAACAAAAGCCATAATCTTTTCTCTTCTTTTCTTTTTCTTTTTAAGATTATTATGATCACATACTAATTTCTAATGGTGAGTGAGCCTAAACATGACATTCTCTTAACATGGTTGTACATTTCTTATCATCTTCTTTGAAAAATTTAAAAATCTTCTTTTTCAATTGTTCTGGGATTCATGCAGCTTGAACTCTCTTTGCACTTTAATAAAAACAAATGTTGAGCTGTTACAGGGAAGACTTGTCTAATCACTGCTGTAGATGTGACCTTTACAAAATGTGCAATTCAGGACTTCTAGTTCCTTTAGTCTTTTTGTTTGGATTGTTGTATGTCTATTCAGCGTGGTTTACAAAGATTATTTTCTTGTAAATGTTGTCATGTAAATGATAAGTTAAATCAGGAATGTGTCAATTATGCTAGTTTTGTGTACTGTACAAAATTCAGCAATTGTGCCTTGAAATCAATTAAATGCAAGCTAAATATCTGATAAGTCTGACTGTTCATTAATTTTTATTCATTTGTAGAGTTAGTAAAAGTAAATATATACTGTAAGTACAAGTTTCCTATTCCTATATTAAGCCTTTTAATTTATGCAAATTTGATTGCTAGAATATCTGGTATTTGTTTGAGAGTTACAAAAACGTATTACATTTGAATCATCTGTCCTCTTTGATACTTTTTTAACAGACAAAAACCCTTCATTGGCAACATCTATACATTTAGAAGATTAAAGCAAGTCTTTAGAGAATTTTCTGCAACAACATCATGTAGATTAGTTACTTAATTTGTTACTTACTTCATATTTGTTACATCCTGCAGATTTGATACTAAATAGTAGAGAAGCATATATGTATCAAAACATGTTTGTGAAAAGGGATATTTTTGCATATACAGTAAAGGTGATTTTACTGCATCTACTTTTTACTTTTGGAAACTATTTGCTGCTGAACTTGAAATATTTTAAAGCAAAACTATCAGTCTTATAGGAATATAAAGTACTATTTAGTCAAAGTAGGTATGATCAAACTGCGCTTTTCATTGTTAGCCACCACAGCTCTCAAATAAAAACATATTCATTGCATCTGTGTCAGGAGTGTTTTTAAATAAATGCATTTAGATTAATGTTTTTACAAGATGTGTAAATCAGATTATTTTGTACTTATGCTAAATGAATCATATGACCTCAGAGAGACTACTTCATCATGTTGAAAAACTAAATGTCTTGCATGTGCATGTCTTTTTAATATATTTTTCACTGTAAGATGACGAATGGGTTAAGGACGTGACGACATGCTTTCCTTATAAAGCACCAAACGTCTATTTCACCCTGTTTCCTCGACATCTTAAACGTGACATTGGTGGAGTTGGGATATTGCGGAACATAATCCTCTTTGGGTGTCTGGCCCGAGGCCTAATTCAAACCGAGTCCGTGTCCTTCTAACTTGTCAGACCCAGCTGATGAAAGCTCAGACGTGACGTCACCGGCGCTTTCCTGAGTCAGCGCGTGCAGCGGTGCGTGGCAGACTGGGTCGGGCTGGAGCCGGGGCTGCTCCGGAGAAAACATCTGTATCTGAGGGGGACGATGTCGGATCCATCGGGGCCGTCGCAGCGTCTGTATTCCTGCCGCCCACTTCGTGTTCCTGTCGGAGAGAAATAACCGGACCGATCGAGACAACTTCGGGGGATCTTAGTCTGGAAAGCCGAAGTCGCCACTCGAGTCTTCACTATGGATCAGTCCGTCGCTATTCAAGAAACTTTAGAAAAAGGAGAAAACTGCATTATAGTATCCTCTGCGGCTTGCGTGCGCTTGTCAATTGACAATCAGATATTTAAAGAAAAGGATTATCCACTTAAACTGGCACCACACGCTGCGCTGAGCAGTGGCAGAGCCCAGGGTGAGGCCTGAACTACAGGCTCAGCCACTTACGGGGCTTTTGATGGGAAACAGACACTTAACTTAGCCTGTGATGGCAGCTCAGGAGAAAGTGTTGACAGTGCAAACAGATTTTCAGCATGAAAACAGGTTTGGACGGCAGCGAGTTGCCATAAATAGTCTTCCGTTAATGCTGCAGTGATGCATTTAATCCACAAGAGGGCGACTTTGTCTCACCATCTCCTTATGAGAGACAATGAAAGAAGTTTAGAAAGTATTAACGTTAAAAATTGTACAGTTTGAATCAAATAGGAATAGCAGCAACAAAAACAATAACAACAAAAAAGATACCAGTCTTTAAAAGATATGAACTGCTTAAAATGGCTAATTCAGTTTAAATTAGGGTTGTAATACAGCTTCACGTATCATACCTTAATTATAAAACGTTGACCAGCATTATATTCCAGTCCTAATCAGAGATGTTGCAGTGCTGGCTTGTCCATAAATATCTGTAATATGCTAACGATATGCATGTAGATCATTTAAGTGTCCTTAACTAAACCGTGAACATGCTGTCCAGTGTGATGTCCTGTTTGATCATGTCACAGAGAGCCGCCTGCTGGGACTGGTGAAGTCCGCTCAAGAACATGCGTAGGTTTCACCACGTTTTGGACAAATCGTCTTCAACATGCTTTTCTCGTTATATTGTACAATTTGCAGTGAAATATTCTGTCATCAGGAGACGTGGAAGATCCTAATTTCAGAGTTTCTTTTTTTCTGCTTGTGTTTTTTTGCAAATTACAACCTTCACTGACCACAGAGTTGCATCACAGAGAAGCAACTCTGTTACAGTCACACAGTAACTCTAATGCTACATCACTATACATAAGCTTTGCAGTTAGCATCCTTTTTTGCTGCATTAGTCAATTATGCTCTTTTCTTTTGTTCACCAATGTTATGTAAAATACTGTTTGCAGAATCTTTATATATATCCATAGAAGAATGGCCATTACAGCTGATGACATATCACTCGAGAGTATTTTCCCCATTTCTCTCGACTTTGCTGTCGTTGAAGGTAAACAGATGTTACTTATCTAATATATTTACAATTATGGTTAATATTAGTGCAATGTAACATTGTTTCACACATCTCTAAAGTACCTTCACACATTTCTCCTGCTCTTATAGTTTCCTCACCAGAAGAACTAGTGATTGTGGGTGAGATGCATCTACATCTGCAGAGTTCTGTCACGATATGACTCAGAACCTAAACTGAACAAATAATCTTCTCATCTGATTGCAGGGGCTGATACCAGAGTTAGAATAAGCTACCAGGATGAAGAATTTGACCTCACACTTCCTTTTGGGTCTCACTCGCGCCTCTTCCTCAGCGAAGTCAACAAGGCATGGAGTGGTAGGTTTGAAGAGACACAATTATATTTGAATAAACCGTAGTTTGGTAATCTGTAGAGGATTTGCTGTTAATAAAATCAGATGTTCTTGTCTGAGTAAAATAGGTCTAAATATGTGTCCTACTGAGTCATCAGGTGCTTTAGGGTCATTCTGTGAAATAAAGCATGATGCATCTTTATTTTAGCATAAACAAGCATTCCTATGAGACATCGCAGGATATGTCACATCTTACAAAACTTCGGAAAACCGTGAAATCACTTCACTTGTCACTCAGTGATGTGCATCTTAGGTTAACAATGATTAAGGCTGACAAAAAGGAGGGCAGATCCCATAGAATGCTTTTAGTTTAGTTTGTTTCTTTTACATCTGCTGTTTGTAAAATGACATGATGAAACAGTTTAAAGAGGTTTTGCTGTCTGCTTTCTGGTCACCTGAATGGAAGTGAGACTCGTGACAGCCTGTGTTGCCGGCGATGAGTTAGATTTTTCACTGGCTCACTGTTTTTACATAAGAGACCATGTGCAACGTTAAATGAATCAGTTGTGTGCCTCGTTTTATTTCACAGGGCACATCATACTGATCGCTGGCATCTAACGTGTTAAAGAAAATGTGTGGAAGAATGACTGGCTTCATTGCCACATAATCTATTTGTATTGCTATCCCTCTACGTCTCTTTCCAGATGTGTGCAGGTCACCGTCTCAGGTACCACAGTTTGAGTGGATCAAGAAGTACCAGAAAGCTTCAAGAAGTCACAAAGATCTTGCACCTAAGTCCACGGCTCCTTCGAAGCATCAGGAAACAGGTTTGTCATCTTTGATTCTGGTCAGTGGCCGATGAATAAGAGTTTATCTTCATTTTGTTTAAATAACATTGCAACTCAAATGTTTACCTGCAAATACAGCATGATTGTAAATGCGTCAGAGATGAGTAAAAATTGCGTATAAGACGGCATGCTTTGGTCCACGGGTCTCAGAATAACGGTTTCTGGGGCGGTTTTTATTTTCTTCTCGAATTTCGCGACTTTGGCTGCATTTTTGTAGTTTCAAGTTAATGGAGTATTTCCGGGGTCCTCGTCTGCGTCCTTTCTCTGCAGCAGGACGGTGGAAACTCCTCCCATCACGTTAGCATGGGCTGGTCCGAAGCACACTGGACATTGATCGTCTGCACAGAATGCATGGGACGGGTTCAAGGAAATGTCTTATGTGATGAAAGACTCTGGTATGAAAACGGCTCATAAAGCGTTATTTGTTTATTTTTTGTCGAAAGAGAAGCAGAGAGAGCTGCCCGTCAAATAATATTGGCTAGTTTAGCTAATGCTAATGAGTAAATTCAAAAGGGCTACGCTTAGCCAGAAGCTAAGCCGCTTTGCAACGCTCTTCACACGGAACTCTTTAATTATTTCATCTTTCTTTAAATACATGTTGCAGCGTTACATTTATGTAATGGTTCTTTGAAAACCATTCAGTGCTAATGTTTACGGGTGGCTTAGGGCAATGATGGCCAATGTTAGCGCTGTCTAAATGATGTTTGGCGACACACCTGTTGTGGTTGGTGTTGCAATAACGTATCTTTTCTGCACATAATTGTGTCATTTATTGAGACATTTTACTCTTTTTCAGTTTTGGCTGTTTGTCCAGAAATGCCATTTGTTTATTTAGAACCCATCTTAAATCAGTCGCCTCCCACAGAGATGAGTGTGTTTGCTGCCTGCTTTACCTTTATGTAAAGCATGCCCTAATTACACCTCTGAAAGGGTTTGTTTCTTGTTTTTTTTTCAGGTAAGATAATGTTGACTATACATTTTCACAGCTAGAAAAAGTTTTTTTTGTAACTTGCATTTCATTGTCATTTGAGAGTGTTTGTATTATGGATGAACGATGTGTAATGGTGTAGTAAAATATCTGTTAGAGTTTTAACACAGAAGCGTCAGAGATCTGAAAAGGAGATCAGCATTTGCGCAGGCTGTGGCTTGGACCGCAGATAAAGTCTTATAGGCCTGTAAAATCGCTGTGCACGAGACTTCACCCAACTTTGGGTTGAAACTTTATGTAAGCACTTTGGCTGGTTACACTGCAATATGTAAAAAGTATGTCATGTTGTCGCAGAGCTCCTGGCACAGAGAAACTTCATCAAAGTAAAGTTTGCAAAAGTGCAGTATCAGCTGGCATTAAGACCAAAAAATTGCCACTTTCCTTTGAACGTTGACTACCAACTGCATGTGCATCTAAAACAAGCGTGTGCTCCGCAGATTTTCGGCGTTTCATGAGTTTCTGGCCCCTGAAGTTTTGAATGTGCCACACCCAAATGGGTCAGCCTTTATCAACAATGGCCTTCCACCTCAAAAAGTGTTGTTAAATCTCTCTTATGTCTACCCGGTTACCTCGGTTTGACTGCTGCTTGTCGGTTATCAGGCGGGTAATTAAACTTTTGCTTTGCTCACTCAAACAAAAGAGCATTCATTTTTGCACTCATAGTAAATATTTCTCATAGTCTGACCTCTTTTCGGGGTTGGATACACTCAAGCTCATTTCCGTTACAAGATGTGGGTTTGCTGCACATTTTTGTTGCCATAAGCAAAATGTTTTCCCTGCATCTGCGTGACAGAATACAGCAATTTTCCTGTAATATCTGACACACTTTGAGTCGGTTTCTTAACATTTATCAACTTTAATTACAAAAGGGCCTCATAAACATCCAACTCAAGACAGAATTGATGATTACTCACTGCCATTTCTTAGGTTTAAAGAAAGAGACTGTCTTCATTTCACAAATCAGACACTGAAATGCAGAAACCAGTCACTCAAAATGGTTATTGTAATTTGAATTTTATTGTAGCAATGTATGTTTTTAGGAAAAAACTATCCATATTGCAGGTTGTGATTAGATTTGAATATGATTGCATTGGCTTTTCCCATTGTCTTTAAAGAAATTATCTTTTGGGTCATTGTGCTGTGATGGTGGTCAGGTGGAGCCTTGATGCAGCCTACTGTAGCCTTGTAGAGTTTAATTTCCTCAAGGAATTCTGCTTTCCCTTTCAGCGGAGCCAGCTGTGTCCCTTGCCAAGCTTCAAGAGACAGGGCTCATGCTGTCTCAAACTTCACAGTCAGCCATTAAAACCAGCTACTTAAAATGCAATAACTGCAACCAACTGCAACAGTCCAAAACTCGACTGAACAACTGAGCCCTGACTCGGTATTGTTCAGGTTGACCTGTTTTTTTGTTTAGTCCTAACAGCAACTCCCAATTTTTAGATCTTATACAGCGTAAACGTTTTACTGAATGATAAGGCAGGTCTATAAGCCAAGCAGAATTCAGCATCTGAAAGACACAACAGGTGCAAACGTTTAACTTTACAGTTTTAAGTAGAAGCCCATAAACAAACTTTAATGGACACTAATCCATTTTTTATGTTTGTGTTAAGTTTACTCTCTTTTGGTTCAATTACAGACAAATCAGCAGACAAAAAGGGAGCTTTAGAGAAGGAGAAAGGTTCCAACGGTGGCCCACAGAAGTCCAAATTCTGTTCCAGTCCAGAGAGGTAAGACCCCTTTTTTTTAGTAGCTAGCTATTGAATTCTTTGAAATATTCTCTACTACTCTGCTACTCGAAATTTTAAGCAATGCATCTAAACAATGTGTGTGACTTACAGTTGTTTAAAAAAGGAAATAAACTGGACTATGTTTGTATTTGCTGAGTCTTTTTAGAGAACAACCTTTACCACACATCTACATGTGTGACCTGTGTAATTTCCCAAAGCCCAAACTCTTTGCCTAACCCACCCCATGTTGCATTGGGACAGACTTGTGTGTTAACCAAACTTGTAACCGCTCCCAGGTTGCAAGAAGCAAATGAAACATGTACAAGAGATGCCTTGGCAGTAGAATCCTTGTAAGCAGCACTTCGGGCGTTGTAGTCTCTCCCTCTGAAGGTGCTCAGCATTACGACTAATAGTTTGCTGTAGAAAGGTTTTTAACCAAGATACATGACTTACAAAAGATAAGCGGCTTTCTTAAATATTTGTGTTCAGTTTACATTTGAAGCTTCTTGGAATGAAGGACTAGTATGAAGATGGCATCTGATAGCATTGTATTCCTGAAAGATGACTCCATCTGCTCTTATTGCATTTTGTCTACTCATTTTGACCTCATTCTATATTGACGGCATGAAAATAGAATGCTGAGTTCGGCGCTGTTAACAGTATAGTGTTGAATTGTACAAAGGGCTGTTTGAATTGAGCACAGTGGCATGCCTCTGCTGATTTCTACTCCAGAAAGGTTTTGTCTAGCATGGCTTCTTGAAATGAAGTAATGGCTCTTTCTTAAGTATTAACCAGAAGATGTCAAACAAAGTTGTGTCATTGTCTCCAGTATGACAAAATGGTTCTTACCCTGTCTTTCTGCTCTCATTGCTGGTTGTATGGTGTGCAGTCCGGGCATCTCTAGTCGAGAAGACCGGGATGACCTTGTGCGCTCATCCAGTCACACAACGTCAAACAAAGCTCAGATATTGGCCATGCCGCAGTTTGGCCTGCGTGACAACCTCATCAGGTGTGAGCTGTTGAAGAATGAGGACTCTTACACCTTTCTGGAGAACTACAGGTATGGAACTCTGTGCTAGTTTCGATCTGAGAATGTAAAGATATCATTTTAATTATTTCTATGTAAAGGGGTGTTTATATGTCAAAACAAAAGAGGTAAATATTCAATCCTTGGCCAAATATTTCACACGTCAAACGTGTTTTAAGATCCATACTCCTACTCTGTGTCTTCATCTCTGCACAAAGTCGGAATATTATTGCACACAGGATGTGCTGAACTATATTTTGTTGGTCAGTAAAAACTCAGAAATAGTTTCTAAAGTTTCTTTAAAGAACAGTGGGTGCAACCCTGCACGCACTGGGTGCACAGTTTCGATCTGAGACGTGTTATGCAAAAAGAATGAGTCAGCATCTGTGGGTTTTACAGCCATGTAAAAAGCAGAATGCTGCTGTCTCACAGTGGACCCTTTAATGTCTGTGGAGCCGGTTTTGTCTCCTTAAAGAAAGCGTGAGATACCAAAAATATCTTCGGTCATTTATTTGGCAATATTAAGTTATATATTTGGCAAATAAACATCCTTTTATGAAGAAGCGACAAAGAGAAAAGGCTGAATAATCATACTGGTTGATACATTTTAAATCAATATAAATACTTTCTCTGTGGGTCATTCAGGGCAAGGCCACCAGGAAAGAGTGTTGTATCATGCATAGTTGATCGACACAAAATACCGTCTCAAAGAGGATATGCAAAACACATGAGCTTGAAGGTCAGATATATTTTCTACTGAATGGAAGGAAGCCAGATTTCAATCTGAACCTGTCAAATAAATCTCAGTGAATATGTAAATGGTTAGGGATTGTCTCTCAAAATGGGTCGCAATTTTGCAGCCCACTTTTGTCCCATTGTTCTGCTCTCAGATATCTTTTTATTCTTTATTGCATCTTTGTAATGTAAGCAGGGTAACATAACTTGGAGTATAAGAACAGTATTCTGTCACTCTTACTAACACAGCCTGATTGCTGAGTGCTGAATAACTCCTGCATTTAAGTACAAAGCCATATACAAACTATCAATGAATTGATAGATTTAACTTTTTTTCATAAAAAGAAATTTTTGTGAAACCTGGATCTTCTACAGTCTAACATCAGAGAGCAGTGACACTCCACCCACAACAAGTTTTATATGAATTAGGCTAATTTATCCAGATTATCTGGTGATTTAGCTCTGCATCTGAGTCCATACAGTACATAGAATACACTATAGACAAAGAACCTGGAACCAAAAACCAGCTGATGGACATTTTTACTGAGATTCAGTTTGGTGTTTAACCAATGTGGTCTGGAGGGGATGATGGATTTGCTTTAGTCCGTCACAGTTTGCCGGGTCAACTTCAGTTTGATTTCTCTCTTCTGTGCACACTTTAAATCTTTCCTTGTCCTTTTTTAGCTTTTTTCTTGGCACATACAACGTAAATGGACAGGCACCAAAGGAGAGCCTCCGTCCTTGGCTGAGCTGCACTCTCAACCCTCCTGACATATACTGTGTTGGGTAAGACATATTCACCCCACAATTCCCTGCTCAATCCCCTGCTTAATCCCATTACAGAGACGGACATGAATCGCTCAGACCCCTGACAGAAACACTGAACCAGTTTGAAGTTTAAGAATATGCTCACCCTCAGACCTCAGCAGTGCATGCTCACTAATCCTGCCTACATTTCATTTTGTCGCTTTAGTTTAAGGAAAAAGTTTTATTGAACACCGCAGCAGTTTTTGAAAGAATTAAAGTCAAACTTTCATCAAATTTTTACTAAGTTTGCCCAATTTACAGCTTTCAGGAGCTTGACCTCAGCAAAGAGGCCTTCTTCTTCAGTGACACCCCTAAAGAGCTGGAGTGGACAAAGGCTGTGTCCGAGGGTTTGCATCCAGAGGCCAAGTATGCCTTAGTAAGGACGTTTCCTTTTCTTGAATCCTACTTTTTAAAAAGTCGTTGATAACTGTCTAAATGGGTAACAGTTTGCCTCACTTGACTTGGGAGGCATTGGCAGCTTCAGTTCTAAATTACTTCAAATATTTTGAGCTGTTTGAGCTTGATCGGACTTTGAACTTTGTTACTTTTTAAGTTCTTTTTTTTCTTTCTTTTTTCTTTATATCCACTTTCATCTATTTCCCTTTTTTCTGAGTGCTGACTCGTGTCTTATTAACTTCCTCATTTGTTTGCTTCTCTGGTATTTTCGAGTCATCTTAAGAATTTACAGGATGTGTGTCTGAGTGGGAAGCCAGTATAATACATTGTCATTTCTCCTTCCACACTTGGCTGATCTGCCACTGACACTGTGCAACTCAGCCAGCTGAAAAATAAATGTCTTCGTATTTGAATCTAAATGTTGAGTCATGTAGGATTGATGGGGATCCTTCCTGAAATGTTTTGCCTCCTTCCATGCATAACAGCCTCCTATTCTTGGATGTGTATTTCTGCTTCTACTTATTTCTGAGAGGAAAGAAATGATGAAGTTGAATGACTTTGAACGTTCTGGTTTTTGTAGTACAAAAAAATAATTTATTTGTAAGTGTGTATGTGTGTCTGTGTTTTATGTCTAAATATACAGAGAGAGAGAGAAGCAGCAACAATTGCTGTGTCAAAAATTTAACAAAACTGAAGTAGAAATAGGTTGAATTGCTGAGGACATCTCCTTTCATCTGTTCTAACTCCTATTTGTAAACCGGCTGTTACAGGTGAAGTTGGTGCGTCTTGTGGGCATCATGCTGATCTTCTATGTGAAGAGGGAGCATGCAGAGTTCATCTCTGATGTGGAGGCCGAAACTGTGGGCACTGGCATTATGGGAAGGATGGTGAGGACTCCATTCCACTCAGCCCATTTTCTCTGTGAAGGTTTTTATAGTGTTCAGAAATCATGTTGCAAAAAAGGGATGTGGGCAACTGTTCAGTTTCAGTTAAGTTTATGTTTTTTTTCTCTGACTGCCAGATAAGAAAAATAAACTAATGAATAGACAAAATAAGAATTTACGAACGCTCTGTCTGGCTGTTAGTCAACATTTTTCCTTATTTCACTGATTCACAGGGAAACAAAGGTGCCGTGGCAATCCGCTTCCGCTTCCACAACTCTGACATCTGCATAGTCAACTCTCACCTGGCTGCACATGTTGAAGAATACGAAAGACGCAATCAAGACTACAAAGACATTTGCAGCCGTCTTCAGTTTCGGCAGCTCGACCTTAGCCAGCCTCCACTCACCATCATGAAGCACAAGTGTGTATCCACTAATGAATCTCACTTCGTCTGTAGGTCAAATGGGTTGAAAGAAATTCGTACAGCACAAAATAAGTGTTCACTCAACTCAGAATTCCTTAGTACTAATCTGTTCTATTTTTTAACCTTTGTCCTTGTTTCTGCTTGTGTCCATCTCTTCTTCCTCGTTTAGTGTGGTTTTATGGATCGGGGACCTCAACTACAGAATTGGCGACCTTGATGTTGACAGTGTTAAAGAGTTAATCAGCAAGAAGGACTATGAGACCCTGCACAATAATGACCAGGTGATACTAATGAGCTTTCGTATTTTAGAATGTTTTACTAGCCCTAACTCGTCAGTGGTGGTATTTATCAGCTGTGTTTGCTCCTCAGCTCAAAAGGCAAATCGATGAAGAGGCGGTGTTTCTTGGCTTTGAGGAAGGACCGATTGATTTTCAGCCCACTTACAAATATGACACCGGCTCTGATGAATGGGATACAAGGTGGTAATCTCTAATAAAGTGCACATAGAAGAATGCATTATTTTTAGAAGAATATCAGTCTTTATTTAATGTGATTATTTTTTTTCCATCAACGCTAGAATAAGCAGAGAAAGACATTTTTGGAACACAGAAAAAAAATTGACTCATGTGGGAAATGTTTCTCCATTAAGAAATGTTTATTCCATCTTCTCAATTAAATATTTATTAGCAGTCACAGGCATCTCTTTGCTCAGCATCTCAAATCAGTATTTGTAAAACGATGGACTTTATGATCACTCTTAAGGTCGAATAACGCAGTTGTGCAAATTTAATGCATATTTCAGACTTTTAAAAAGGGGGCTTTACTATTTAAACAGCTTGCTTTGCATTTGCAGGTCAGACCGGTGCAAGCTCATATTGCATCAAAGTACTTAATCAGATAAAAACTTTCGGTAAATTATGTTTTATATCCAGCTGTTTTTTCTTTTATTAAATTAAAGTTACCTCCACTCATACTCACAGTTAGTGTTTGAATTTGTAAAGCGTTATTTTGGTTTTTCTTCAAACGGGTCTCCTAAACAAGTTTCCCTGCTCGGGGAGAGTCAAAGGCTAAACTAAATACATTACCAGCTTTGTGTGTTCTGTACTTGGAATGTATATATATTTTTTAAATAACACTTGAGAACGAACATCTGTCATTTGGTTCTCTGGCTGTAGTGAAAAATGTCGTGTCCCTGCGTGGTGTGATCGTGTCCTGTGGAGAGGGCAGAACATCAAGCAGCAGCATTACAAAAGTCATATGGCTCTGAAGACCAGCGACCATAAACCCGTCAGCTCTCTGCTCATCATTGGGGTAAAGCCATAAACCTTCTAACCTGTTCCATGTTAATGTAGTTGTCTTTGTTCTTCCTTATGACAGAATCGTGTATCAGATAAACCTGCATCGTGATCCCTTATCGATTTATATAATGTTGTTGGAAATTATTTTTGGATGATGTCGTTGCAATATTTTTGATGCTCCTCTCCTCAAGATAGACAATAAGCAACCGGTCTTTACATCTGCCTTCCGCCTTTTTGTTGCCACAGATCAAGAGAATAAATGCTGAGGCCTATAAGAAGACCTTTGAAGAGATTGTTCGCAATATAGACAAAATGGAGAATGAATGTATCCCTTCTGTGACTTTGTCCAAGCGAGAGGTATAAAGTTTCTTCTGCTGTTTCATGACTTATGTATTGTAATGCAGACTGCAAAGCATCCCTACTAATGGAATGTATTGATCTTTGGCCTTGAGCCTCATAATGAAATGTAATGGGTTCAACTGTGTTTCATCTTGCTTCTTAAATCTGTGTGTTATAGTTCCACTTCAAGGATGTGAAATACATGCAACATCAGGCAGAGACACTGAGCCTCGTGAATGATGGGCAGGTCCCGTGTCAGTTTGAGTTCATCCAGAAGCCAAATGAGCCCACATACTGTAAGCCCTGGCTCACAGCCAACCCTCCCAAAGGCTTCATTGCTCAGGGTGAGACAGTTTTTCTAAGTGCTGCTTTTTATCCTTTTGCCACATTTTTGCTTTTTTCTTTTTGTTTTCCAATGTTCTGAGAAATAGCATATCATTACATCTGAGTTCAGCCTAAGAGATTGCATCTGCCACCTCCTAAAATTGTGTCGGGCTCTGTCATCATTCAGGTGGTTCTGTGAACATCGAGCTTGAAGTTTTTGTAAACCGTTCAACGGCACCAGATCTTAACTGTGGCAAACAGAAGATCGAAGACATTCTGGTACTCCATCTAGAGCGGGGAAAGGACTACTTTATCTCTGTATCGGGGAACTATCTGCCAAGCTGCTACAGCACCTCTATTTATTCTTTGTGTCATCTGAGGGAACCCATCCAAGACATGCCGGTAGAGACCCTCCTTGAACTGGTAAGTAATGCACTGAAACGGGTTTCCATTTGTTTCTGTCTCACAATAGTGGTCCTCAGATTGTTGCAGTGTTGAGTATGTTTATCATTTAACAGCATCTGTTCTCTTCATTTGTCCTCAACATCAGGCTAATGTGTCTGGATATGAGAGTCTTTCAACCACCGAAAAACCTCTTGACATTCCTAAAGAACTTTGGATGATGGTGGATCACTTATTCCGCAACGCAGTTAAACAGGTAAGAAGCTGAGATGGATGTCTCATCTTCTAGTTGGATCAAATGTTATAAACTATGTTGCACTTTGCTTAAACTTTGTTAGCTCTGGGTGTAAAGCTCTGCACTGGGTTTCCTCCTGGGATCTTTTTCATGGTGACAAATAAATTGAGGTGACAGACAAATATGAGGAATCTGTGGATTTTTGAGTGAAACTCCTATAACCAGCAAATACAAAATGGCAGCAGGAGTCGTCAGCATTTAAGTGAAATAGCTCTTAAACCCACCCCCAGCCCATGCTTTTGTGTGCACTTTTCCAAGGACAACCACATAACTTCATTAAAACTTCCGTCATTCTTCTGACACCAGGTCCCTTTTTTTCCTTTTGCAGCATTTTTCATCAGGGCTTTGTTTGGCGTGTGCTCCTGTTTGACTGACAATACTGTATGCTGTTTCTTTTTATATGTTGTTACTTTTTGTAACAGCTCAATTTGACTCTACTTCCTTTTTGGACCGGCTGTCGTGGCGTATTTGATTTTAACAGCAGGTATTGGAATCATGGAATAGGTACTGATACCTGCTGGTAAGAAACAGGACACATGTGTTGATCCTGCGAGTCATGGGATCATCACATTGTGCCAGCTAGTGGCCAACTTGAAGTAAACAGGTTTAACATCTTCGTGGGTGAACACAGATGGGGATTGGAGCTGTTTGACTTTCGGTCAAAATAATTCATTTCTAAATGACTTTACCCTTTTTAAACTGGCGTCATTTTAAGGATTTAAATCCTGATTTTAAAAACATATTATTTTTCTTCTCAATAAAAATATTGGTGTCTGGCCTGTGGGATGTTTTTCTTGTGACCACACTAAATATATTATAAGGCAGCAATTGAGATTAGTATTGAAGTAGCTTTGTAGGGCCTTTGTATTCATTAACTGCCATTGATTGATTAAATTACATGTGTTTTTGTCTTACAGGAAGATATATTTCAGCAGCCTGGGCTTCATAGTGAATTTGGAGAAATAAGAGATTGCCTTGACACAGGGATGCCAGATTCCCTTCGTATCCTTCAGTCTGTACGAATGAATGGTTACTCTGAAATATCTGAAGACTTTCTGTGCATTTTTTGTTGTTACAAAATGGAATCCTAATACATTGTATTTGAAGTGGAAAGAGTTTGCATCTGTATTAGACAAACACTGATTCATTCATCGAACCCTTTATTACAAAGTGATTTAAACTCTTCCCATATAACTGATATTTGCATATTTAATACAGGCACTTTAAAGCTGAATGTCCGATGTATACAATCACATATTTCTATCTAATCGTATATGTTAAATTGGTTTTGAATGAACCTGGACAATAACAGAGTATCTGATCCTCAAAGCTTTACTGCCCTTGACGCTGTGCTGACATGCAGCGGGCAGTAACCACTCAGTGGCAGAGGCCTTGCTTCTTTTTTTAGATGCTCTCCCAGAGCCTGTGGTCCCATATTCTTTTTACCAGCAGTGCCTAGAATGCTGCTCCAATGCCAGTCAGTGTGAGAAAGTAAGTCAAATAGCCCGCAAACATTTCCATTTCTTTTCCAAGGTATTGTGAAATTGTTAACACTTTTTTCTTTTGATGTCATTTTTTTCTGTGTTTAGGTTATTTCCATGCTACCTCAGTGCCATAAAAATGTATTTAACTACTTGGCTGCCTTTCTCCGCGAGCTTTTGAAGAATTCAGCTTTCAATCGATTAGATGTTGGCATCCTGGGTAAAGTTGCTTTGTCTTCTTTTGATTATTGAATATGTGTTTTTACTCTGTGGTGTTGTTCCTGAGTCAGCATGTTGAGCATGTGAGGAGCAACTAATAAACCATAAAATATATATTTTTCCTTTTATTGTAAATATAAACATAGTAAATTAGTTGTTCAGCATGTACAAAAGTTTGATGTGAAGTAATAGAAACAAAATGAAGTCTGTATTTGTGTGCACCAAGTATGTAGTCATCATTATTAAGTTAGGCCAGTTAGGTTAACACAAACTAGTGTCTCTTTGGTGCACTGTTGACATCAAACTGCTACACAGTGTGATTAATTAAGTTTCTTTGTGTATAGCCACCATTTTTGCATCCTTGCTGCTGAAGTCGCCTAGGAAGCAGGATCTGGCAGAGAAGAGGAAGACTCAGGAGTTCTTTCAGCACTTCCTGACCTAAGGCTCCTCCCAAGAGGATGTTTTTTCCTCTTTGCTGAAGCTGAACACTAAAAACTATTATGTCCAGTATTTGAAATAAACTGCAATGATTATTATATTTCCAGATGGCTTTTTGTGTAGGTATATCATGTAATTACAAAATAATAGTTTCAAAACAATGCTTGTTTTCTATTCCTGCACATTTTATTGTATGCCATTTATCATTTGTGGAAACCTAACAGTTTTTAATTTGTCTATATTCTATTTAAAGAATAATTTGTATTTTAATGTTTCAACTTCAAATAGTTTTTATATTAAAACAAAAGGTTTGGAAATAAAGTGTGTGTGCGGTTTATTTAATACTTAATATGTTTTTGTCTATTTTGTTTAAGCTGTAGTTGCAATGCAGAACCAAACATTTCTTTGATTTTTTTTTTGCAGTTACTGCAACATAAAAAAAACCTTTTGAAAAAACTTTTTTCATGTTTTTAAGTGATATTTAATTTCCCATAATTCATCACGGATGGCTATGATCTGTGACGTTGTGTGGTATCCCTCTGTAGGGAGGAGGTAGGAAAAAAGCCCTTGCCATCCTCATCATAGGGATAAGCCTTACATTTATCAAAGGTAAAAATATATATTTTTGGGTTTAATTTCCGTCAAGGCAGTTGATTTGGGTGTTAGCGTAACAATTTATTATTTGGTACCATTAAACTTGTTATCCCTGCTGCTCGGTAGGTCTTTAATGTCAACTGTCGACTGTTAACGTTGCTAGCTAGCGCCTTAGCTTAGCCATGAGCTAAGTTGTTGCTAGCTAGCAAATCTATGCATGTGTGGAGAAATGTTTGGCAGTTGACATAGCTTGCGTAATGCTAAGTAGCGTTCCCTTGGCTACATTTAACACATCGGCTAAAGACAAAAATGCGACTTGGTGGTTTTCCCAAAAATTAAGCAACTTTTTTACTTTTGTTTTTTTAAAGTAAAAAGAAATAGCTAACGTTATGCAGTAGAGGAAAGATGTCGATAGGATATTTGCTTGAATATTAAGCCAGTTATTTACTAGTAGCTGCTGATACAGTGTGCTAACAGTACACAGCTAGCAACCTAGTATTGTGACTATAGTTAAGAAAACATAATTATATTGTCATTCAAACCTTGCTAATTGTCTTATATGGACTTCACGCACTGTTGTGACTTGGTGTTTGTCAACCTTATTAGTTGGAAAGGTTAGCTGATCCCAATGAGAACGAAAAAGTTGATTGCCATTCGTTTAAAAGTTTGGCATCTATATTTCCTCACAGAGAAGGTTTTGCGAAAACAAATCGCATGTGTTTTAATTGCTTGGAAATCATTAAGTTTCTTTGCTTAGTTGAATTCAGATTCATTCGTTGTCTGGTTTTCTCTTCTGCGGTAGAAAGTTCTCGATGTGTGAGGTTAGTTTCTCCAACGGGGCTTGTTTGTTTTACAAACGATTATTTTTGAGAGTTTCGTCCACATCAGTATTATTGTTATCATTATTTTTTGGTAAATGTCCAGTGGAGGACACACGAGTGTGTTACATGTTGAATAGATTAATTAACTTAAGCGTGTAGGTGGAAAACTAACTGTCCTCAGTATCATTACACATCTGAGGCTTTTAGACATTTTTGCTTAATGTTTGTAGCTGTTTTAAAATTATTTTGCACTTAACAGCTGTTCCTCTGTTTAGTTTTTATTATGTGCCTAATAACTCATCCCATTGTTCAATAAGAGATTTTAAATGGGAGGCAGGTCTTTTATTATCTATACTTGAATTTTATATTGTCTGGAGGCTGCAGGTTTATGAGTAACCCAAGATTGTGTACACCGCTTAAAAACAACACACGTTATAAAGTACTGCTGCCATCTGATAAAAAATCAGATGGCTGCAGTTTTTAAATTTTTTGTCTGTCTAAACATCTTTTTTCCCCCTAAAAATGATAACTAACGACTGAGGCCAAAAACAATTAAACTCTGCTTTTTTACTGATCTCTCAGGCTGTATCTTTAAAAGTGCAAGTGAGCAGTCCTCCTTGCCAAGGAGGGGAGGCACCAGGGAACATGAGTGAGAATGGCCCTCATACGGGGGCGTCCATGTACTTTGAAGTGGATTTGGATCACCTGGAGCGGGATGACGAAGAGGAAGAGGACAAGATCCACTTTGAGAAAGACAATGATCTGATTGCTGAACCATCATCATCCTCTGGTCGTGTGTACGATCGCACCACTGTGCTCATTGAGCGTGACCCAATTCGGCTTGATGAGGAGGGGGAAGAAGAAGGTCACTGTGGAGGGGATGAGGATGGAGTCACCTTCTTAACTGAAGGCGAAGGGGATGGCGATGAGGAGGAAGGCTCTCTGGCCTTTATGACTGATCCTGATGGGATGTCACAGGGTTATGTACACCACACCATTTCTCCAGATCAGATCCAGTTTACTATAAATCCAGGTTCCACCCCAATGCCACGCAACATAGAGGGGGCTACACTCACCTTGCACTCAGAGTGCCCAGAGACCAAGCAGAGAGAGGTGAGTTTAAACAGACATATTTTCCAAATGTGAGGGGAAACATTTTAAGTTCCAAAGTCCTCTATTGATGGGGGCAGAGTGAGTTCTAGGCTTTGGCTGGTTAGTGCTGAAATAATTGCTTTTTCTTGTTTCGTTTGTGAGAGCTCCTTCTGTCACTCCAGCTAATTAGTCAACAAGAACAGATGGTTTAAAGGTTTAGTTCAGATATCACAAGCATAACGTAAGTGTTTTCCACAGAATTGCATTCTGCTGGTAGTAAAATGAAAGCATTTGCCTTCTTTTTTTGTTTGTTTTCATATGTGAATTTTGATGAAAGCTTTTAAACTCAAATGATAAACAAATGCAAGAAAAGAGGATTGAGTTGTTTATTTCTTCAGCTAAATGCTTTTTGCTATGTGCTGAAGACGTGGGATATTCAGTCTGCCATGGGAGAAATGGCAAGTGTGTTGAAGTGATTCAAAATTGTCCTTAAAATTATTCTAATTATATGTATCGCCAAAAAAACAATCAGTGTGTTTTTTTATACATTTTCCATCTTAGTCTGGAGATATAGACAAAGATTTGTCAGGCTTAAAATCCTTTTCCAGGTGGCTTTGTTCTACCAAAGAGAAAAAACAGACAAATGCATCTATCAAAACATTGTGTGTTTGGGAATCGATTCCCAAAACAGGCATTAGGCCATGTTACTTTCTCAAGGAGATATGCCTGTCTCGTTCATCAGTGTCCTATGTTGAGGTGCAGAGGAGGAACATGACAGCAAGAGGGGCTAACAGATGAAAATGTGTGTGTTGGGGCAGACAGAGACTGATACCGTCATTGCCATGTCACTGCTTTGTGACCCAAGTTGACACAAAGTTTAAGCTCATGTTGTCGAATGTGTACAAATTGCCAAAGAGGAGGCATGTCAAAGATCACTTTTCCTCACTGTGAAAGTGCGACCGATACGCGAGAGGCCTGCGGCCACTGATGGCTGTCCTTCTGCTCTGCTGCCTCACTGAGCCTGGTGTCACAGTACAGGAGCCAGTTTTTCACCAGCTGCAGGCTCTGGTTGGAATGGAACTTCAGTTAGCAACTAATCTTTTAAAGACAAGGGTTTCTGTTACCAGTTGGAGTCCATAACAGAAAAGGCCCCATCACTGGGCGGGACAGTCTGGTTTTCCCTTACAGCCTCAACAGGCATATGAAAAATTGGTGATGAGTACTTAAATTTTTTTGGTTGAACTCGATCTATTTTCCTTTTATCATTTGTAATTTTTATAGAAATATTGACCCAAGAGCCCACAATAAATAGTTTGACAGAGTTATCAGAGTTACTGGATTTTTGATTGGGAATTTGTGTGCATGTGGTTTGGTAATCTTTTGCATATTGTCACTAAAAAAGATAAGCATGAAACAACACTGTGATGGGAAATGTGCATTGAGGTCAGTTAGTTATTTTAGGAATAATATAGTTTATGTTTTGTTTTTTTATTCATAACAATTTTAGGAAATAAGTGCGCTGAGAGTAAACTAATCTCTTCTTTTATGATATCATAACTAACTCCAAAAGAAATTCTATATTCTGAGAAATGGAAGAAATGACAAACAGAATTTACCTTATTTAATACATAGTCCCGATGGTGTGTGCGAATAATAGCTTTTAGTTTTTGAAGACTTTCACATTTGATTTGCATAAATATTTGTTTAACAAATTATCACTCACACTTACTAATGATCAGAATGTGTGCCTCTATGCAGTCAATCAGATTAGTCTTTAGTTGAAATGTTGGTAGCTTTGGATTTTCACTGGTTATATTTTTGGGATCTTACATGTCTTTCTCATATAAATTATGCTGTAGTTATGTTGAAGCTATTAGATGACCAAACTAGTAAGTCATTGGGGTAATGCCATCTAGGAACAAGGCTAACCATGAGCTTCCCCTTGTTGTTTTGTGCACAGAACATGGTTGCATCTTTCTAAAAGGAGAATGGGCTGCTTTGAGATTCAATGCCTCAGGTTGTTTTTGTGAGAGCTGAGGAGGAAACTGCCACACGGCAGTGGACATTGAAACTGAATTAGATGGAATGTATTGCACGGGAGGTTTGTCATCTTTGCTGTCCTTTATGCTCAGCTGCTTTGTATACTGACGTGTGGCTGAGTCATTGAGTTTCACGTTCCTCTGCAGGGCCACATTTACTGTGACACTTTTAATCTTTAGAGGTTTGTTCATTTTTTAATGAGGGAGATTGAATAGCAATTGCCTTGACTAGAAATTAAGTCTTTTTGTGTGTTCCACCATCAGGTAAAGCGCTACCAATGCACATTCGAAGGTTGCACAAGAACTTACAGCACGGCAGGAAACCTGCGGACACATCAGAAAACGCATCGCGGCGAGTACACATTTGTGTGTAATCAGCAGGGCTGCGGAAAGGCCTTTCTCACCTCTTACAGCCTCAAGATCCATGTCCGAGTTCACACCAAGGAGAAGCCTTTTGAGTGTGACGTGCAAGGCTGTGAAAAGGCCTTCAACACATTATACAGGTGAGCCCTCACACATCTTCATGATGTTGAGTTCAGTGTCATCTCACACCTCCGTGGATACTGTCTAAAAAACCCAGTGTTCTTTCACTTGAACTGATGCAGTGTCACCTTATAGGCAAAAAATGGCTGTACAGAAACAGACGACTGGTTTATTGGATGTGTGATTATCCTAAAATAAAGGCAAATGTTCGTTTTTAAATATGTAGCATCATTTAAATGTATTTATTTTTCAAATAACTTTTCCTTCTTTACCACAGCAAATGCTTTGAGCTTTGATGATGCACAACAAAAATCACCACAAACTTTTTTTAAAAATGACTGAAATTAAGAAGTCCAGTCTTTAAAATGAAGGAAATGTTTTGCCACACTTACTTTAATGAACAAACTCAACCTAGGCTGTGAGATTTGATCCTGTACAATGTGTCGTATTTAAGTTCAGCAACATTAGTGTCTCTGCATTTATTTAGGAAAAGAGCATTGCGCAGCACTGGAGATGACAGTTCTGTGGTAATTGATGCTGTAGTGATCATCACAGCCGTCCAGTTTTATGAGGTCAGCTGCTCTGACAACATGCTTTGAGCTTAATGGAGCTCTGCCATCGGCATCAACTCCAGATTGGCTGTCACTTCAGGCCGCCGCTCTGCCTGACATGCACGGATATGTTTTTAATAACGTTGCATTGCAGACAAAGTGTGGACTTAGCTCAGCTGTTTCCCCATCTGCCTAAATTTTGTTTACTCAGCTCCCCTGTTTTTCTCAATGCTGTTTCGGCATTTTAAGATGAAGTGCGTCATGAATGGACATTTTATGAAGCTACTGTGTTTTTCTCTCAAAGCAACTCGTTGCTGTTCTTGTCTCTGCAGATTAAAGGCACACCAGAGACTTCACACAGGCAAGACATTCAACTGTGAATCGGAGGGATGCACAAAGTACTTCACCACACTCAGTGACCTAAGGAAGCATATCCGCACACACACTGGGGAGAAGCCATTTCGGTGAGCATTTCCATTATCACAACAGCTTAGATCTTCTCCTGCTAAAGTTCAAGGAACTGCAATGCTCATACATGCTAAAAGGTGTTGGTAATCGTGTGTTTGAAGGTTGCCTGGGTGGATGCAAAATACATCTACCAAATAAACTGTCTCACCTGTGGAAGGTTTTCTGTTTTACTTATAAGTGTTTCTGCATTTCTGTCTTTGCTGTCAGGTGTGATCACGATGGCTGTGGGAAGGCTTTTGCTGCAAGTCATCATCTAAAGACACATGTGCGAACCCACACAGGTGGATATTTGCAGTTTGTCTCTCACCTTTACTGATTTGAATGTCCTAACCAAACAACTCAAGCTTTTGTCTCAAATATTTGTGTGTTTTGTAGGGGAGGGCCTCTTCCCTTTTCACAGTGCAAACTACTTCTTACTAAGACGGAGTCAGGCGTCAAACTAATCCACAAAGGACCATCCACACTTCTCCCTCAAAGTAACAATGAAAGTTGGACTTAGTCCTGTTGCTTTGAGGGAGAAGTGACCTTTGTTTTTATGATGTAGACATAAAAGTTGTTTTAGATTCAAAGAAAAGTGAAACATTACCATCTGAGACTGCCTGGTCAAATGGGCTTTGGTTAAACCAGCGCATGATAAATAAAACTTGTTTAACTTAGCTTAACTTTCTTGCACTTTTTAAAAATGTTAAAGGCATCTTTGAAATGACATTTGTGGCTGTTCTTTGTTCTGTAGGGGAGAAACCATTCAACTGTCCCAGTGACGGCTGTGAGAAGACTTTCAGCAGCCAGTACAGTTTGAAGAGTCACATCCGGGGCCACGATAAAGGACAGCCTTTCAGCGTGACCCTCACACATCCACTCTCTGAAGTGAGTTATAGCATAGTGTTGGAACAGACAGCAGTCTTAAATCTCTGTTCACCACATCTATCCCAAGTCTTTGAATCTGGCTGGGTTTAATATAGGAATAGTGTGTCTTAGTTGGTGCTGGCTACACTCCTATCTCTATTTGCTTGCAGATTTTCATGTATAAACCACATTTAACAACAGAATATGGTTGGAAATTAACCCTACTTCTGTTGTAAGTCTAATACTAAAAAGATGGATATACTGATTTAAAATCATTTAATTTGTGTGTAGACACACTGTGGTGGATAAAGAACACAAATGGTGGGCAATGTGGAAGAATTTTGGAAGCACTTGGCCGCATGTGTATACAAAGTAAAAGAATACAACTTTCCAATTGATTGAATAAAGGGACTTTTTATATTTCTTTTTTTCCTTTTTTCACTTAATTACAGGATGCAAATCACTCACTGTGCCTCAGTGATTTGAGCCTCATTTCTACAGATTCAGAGCTACGCGAGAGCATCCATAACGTAAGCCCGTTGGTTTCTTTATTTCTGTTGAGGATGTAAAGAGATGTCTGGAATATGTCTAACCCCTCTCATCACTTTTTTTGTTTTTTAATTTTTTTTTGTAAGAATTTAAGTAATGTTTTATTCTTTAAAGAGGACATTTAATTCAGATATTAATTTCTGCTTATTTTGATGTCATTACAGGCTCAAAATTTGGATCTCAATAATGTGACCCCGGTGAAAATTTTTGAACTCATGTTTCAGAGTCTTGAAGATAGTGTTAGCCAAGATGATGCCAATCCCAACGGTAACAGCACAAATTTTAAAAGCTGTCTACTTTGTTTATATTGATGTCCCCCCCTGATGGAACTTTTCTTTTCCTCCTCAGAAAGCCTTGCAGAATCCTTCAGTCTGGAGACCTCCACTCAACGAGGAGTGACTGATTGCTCATCTATCATCTCTTTTTCCATCACTCCTACCTCTTCATCTCCCTGTTCTCACAGTGCTGCGGTCATGGAGCCTGCCTTGCAGCACACTCACAGCTCTTGCTGTCAGGCTCCCACCCCTGCAACTGTCACAGCTACTATTAGCTCCACACAGTCTCCTCCTTTCATGCACCTAAGTGGACCGCAGCAGGTCTCAGATGTGCCTCAGGCTTCTGTCCAGACATCAAACCAACAGCACTATGTGACACTGCCACCCACCTTCCTGCAGTCCGAAAGTGCTGCTCAGACCCCTCCTGTGCCGCCACCCATCTCTGTTCATCCTCCAGCGGCTCCTCTGACCACTGCAGCACCGGGCCCTGTTGCTGCTGCTGCGGCCACCTCCACAGATGCTGTAGCCGCTGTGGCTCAACCTGTGCCTTTGGCCAGCACCGGCCCCGGTCTGCCTACCACCCCAGCCACCATCACCATAGCATCAACCCCAAACCTGCTCCAGCCCAGCCTGGTTATGTCTGACCAGAACCTCCAGTGGATCCTTAGCAGTGCTGCCAACAGCCAGCAGAACCCTGAGCAAGCAGTGAGTGTTCCAAACATTCTACCATTTTTTCTGTTCTTTAACATAAACACTTTCTTACATTATTTATTAGAACAAATTAGAACAAAGACTGAGAATATTACAGAAATTGTAATTTGATATTCATAGCAGGGTTTATTTGCAACAGCAAAATGTTTTTACTTTAAATTATGACGATGCATAGACTAACTTCACTGAGCATGAACTACCCTCCTTAAATACAGAAGGAAATGTGTCCACAGCTTTAGGTTGAATCCATTTGAACTTTAATATTTAATGCTTGTTCACAGCCACATCAAGGAGCTTCAAAAGTGGAAAAGGTTTTCTTCACCACAGCTATACCAGTGGGAGGAAATGCTGGTAAGTCAGCACATTGACATTTATCACACTAAGTCTGTGCTGTGGACTACACTGGCCCAGGTTCTCCTGCTTTAGTTGGGACTTGTTTATAATTGTATAGAAAAAAGAAAAAAAAACCCTTCATCATTGCCTATGTTTTATTCATTTGGACTAGCCAGAGCTCCTTTTGGATGCATGACATTGTTTCTTTACAGTTGTAAATGGATGCATGCCAACATCTTTTAAGGAATAAAAACATGTTGACATCCAAGCCCTGACGGGAAATTGTCTTTTTCAGGCAACCCAGTCCAGCAGATTGGCCTCAGCCTACCAGTCATCATCATCAAACAGGAGGAATCCTGTCAGTGCCAATGTGCCTGCAGGGACTCTGCTAAAGACAAGACGACAAAGAGTGCCTCCACCATCATTTCAGCCCCAGCACAGCAGCAACCAGCGAAGCCCCCTCCCCCGCACCCACCAGAGCCTCCAAACCATCCAACCACGTCATCGTCCTCCTCATGCTGCCTTCCCAAGTCTTCCTCCAAGGTGAGTGAAGTAAGGCCGGAGGCGTCCTCTGCTTCTTCGTCCTCCTCCACAGCTCAGACTTTGTCCACTACAGTAAGCAGCACTGCCACCAACCCACCCCCATCAGATGGGTTAGCCAGTATGGACGTCTCTGACTTCCTCTCCATGCAGAGCCCCGAGACAGCTGCCAACATCGAGGCTCTGCTGCTGGTCGCTGATGACTTCAACATGGCCACTGATGGCGACCCTTAGAGTTGCATTCCCAGTGTGGCAGCGTATTTGTCTGTTCCTCCCACTCATCCATGAGCATCGATCCCACCCACAGCACGAATCACTCTCCAAAGCGATGCCTCTTTTTTCACCCTATGTGTGCACATCAAACCCTGTGTTCCTGCAGTGCATCCTGTTCTGTACAGCACTGTGCGACATGTACTTACTGAGTAACTTTTGTTGGGTCTCATTGCAGTAGCTGACCTTAGTAACTGGATTAGTTTTCTCATTGAGATTTAGCAGCTTCAATGCTAATTTATGCAGAGAAGTGGCTGTGGAGCCTATGTGGAAAATGTGATCTGTATATAATAATCCTCTTGATATCCAATATGAATTTAATGAATGAAACAAAGCGTCCAAGCACTGATAATGAGAGTTTATTGGTCCTGTGTAGAAGGTCACGCACCCGAGCAGGAAAACAAAAACTCATCGGTATATCATCGTACTGTATTACCGGTCCTAACAAATGCTCCAAGCTGGAATGCAACTGGCCAGAATGCACTGTATATTAGAGGAATTTGCTATGATTTTAATCGAGCATTACTCCTGTTGGAATTTAAAGGGGTTGGCAAAACAGTCCCTCACCTAGCTGTCAGCTTATTTTTTTCTGTTTTCCCCGAGTTTGATGTTCTGAAAATGCGATGACTCTTTTCTACTTCTTTTGACAATTATTTTCTAATCTAAAACCTGTGATCAGTTCTGCCTGTCTATCTAAACAGCATTAAGTAAATACATCAATTGCCTATAACTTAAACTAACTTAAAATTGTACATGTTAATTTATTTAAATGCTCGATTCTCTTTATATTGATACTAGTGGGAAAAAAATCTATTAATTTATTCCAATCACTTGTAATGTTAAACTTTTTTTTTCCTTTTGTTACTGATTTGCTTTTTACATACATCATGTATATTGCTAAAAGCAAGTTTAGAGTCTAGTTGACCGCACAGTGAAGCAAATGATCCTCCAGGTTCTAGTTGTTTGCAAGAATGGTTCACAATTATACGAAAGCAACTACCATCAACATCCCATATTCTTAGGGTTGTGACCCTCTCAGGGATTCATCAACTCATAACTGATCCCCGTTCCTGTAATTTCTCATACATTCTTCCTTCATCAGAAGGCCCACACTTGCAGTATCCCTATGTTTCGCTGCACTCTTCCCTGTTTTGATGAGCAGTATCTTGTAAAGAGTAATCAGACAGCTTGTTAGTTTAGGTGCAGCACCACTACACCCTTTTGTACACAACTGCTGTAAAGTAGCATTGAAAAGAAAGTGTCCTGGAGACAGTGTAAATAGATTGCATTTTAGTGTAAACATCTTTAAGAAACTTGTAGATTATTCTTGGATTTGTATTTTTGTATAGACTTTTGAATAACTAACTCAGAGGTCGGCGCTAATCCCATATCTTTGCGTTTTTCCCTCATTACATTTTTGTAGAGAACTCGAGATTTTGCTGTGTTTAAATTAATAGTTCTATAAGCAACTCAGCTTCTGTACAGCCCCCATTGTAACATAATATATGTAACACATAGCCTGTCAGAGTATAATTTAACAGTATTTCACACGGGACACAATGCAATGACGACAGAGCAACAGCATTATTTCCATGATCGTTGTTGAAGTGACTTGGCCTTACGGCGCTAACTGTACAGTGAGCCTTTTGCCTTGACAGTCTCTGCTTTAGATACCCACATGATGCTGGTGATCTGCACCAGTAAATCAGTGAGGCAGAAAGACTTATGTTTCCTCATTTTTTCGTTTTTTCCCCCCCATTTGTTTTTTTCCCCGGCTGGAATGTTTATGCAGCATTGATGAGAATATAATCTGCTGCTACCCGATGCTGATTCTGGCTCATTTCAAATTAGAGACCAATACATTAAACCAAACCGATGAGATAACTTGAAACGTCAGTTTTGTCATAATTGAGAAGCAGCGTTGCCCAGATTGCTGGCTACAGAGAAAACAACCAGGACAACACAACTAGGCCCAAGTCCAGCTATTATTTATTGGTGTTTAATTATTTAACACATAATGCCAGAGGATTTACTTGCATGCTTGAAACCATTCCCTATATGTTCAGATAAGTGTCTAAATCTGAAATTGACACAGTTAAGCTGCTAAAATACCACCCCCCACAAAAAAAAAAGGATCCATTCATGTTCATAGCATGCAACTATGCAATTAAGTATGAAACATAACATTTTGAATAACTCAAATAGTTTGCCTTTGTCTAGAAGACAGAATTCTGCTACAAACTGTCATGCAGAAATCCAGCAGATTTTTATTGTGGCCATACGAAAACATACTGCTTGGACTTCCAAACATGTTAAAAATACTGTGTTTTGGCATTTTGAATCTTGACCAAGGTGCATCCATCAGGTACAGTTTCAGTGAATGTTGCACCACAAAGTTGTTAAAATCCAACTTCATTGTTTGACAAAAGTACTTAGAGAATGAATGGTTCTGTTTTAAGAATTGTTTAAAATACACAGATGTTATGTTTTTGTCAGTTCAACTTCCATGACTGATCCAACTCCATTTTTGTGACTAAGTTGGGATTTCCCATTTGTGATCCTCAGGCAGACTGCCTTGCACGTTTTCCAAGCTTCCCTGCTCTGGCACACCTGACTTAAATGTGACAGCTCTTCTGGCTCTACAGAAGGCTGATGAAGACCCAATCATTTAAATTGGGTGTGCTGGAGGAGGGAAACTTTGAAAACAAGTAGGGCACTGTGCCTTGAGGACCAGGGATGGGAAATACCGATCTATGCCTTTCACTTACTTTACTTTGATCTTTCATCAATGAAAGTCAGAACAGCTGCCAATATTTTAAGTAGAAAAATGTTTGTTTTTTTCCAGATTTGTGGCCCAAGTTTCAGTATTTACCTGAAGGGGTGACAATGGAGAACCACTGATGGCAACATTTATTTGGAAGCAGAACATTTAATCGGATGTAGAGCCAGATTGAGTAATTCCATAAATTCCAACATAGGAAAGCATATGCTTCCAAAGAAATGTCTGACATCCAAAGAGTGAGGAATTGTAAAGGAGTTGTTATTTTTTAACGAATGTATAATGTGAAAAACGTTTGCTTATGCTCGTTTCGTATAAAGTGATAACTATAAATTGAGAGCAATATAATACTAATAAAATCTTATCCTTGTCACTGAAATGTGTGCTCAGTCAATTATTTACAATTAAAATAGCCATTATAAAGCATTTTATTTTCTTCCATATTACTGATGTTTCCGGGAGCTTTTCTGTTCACTCCTTTGACGGTATGGAAACATCTTGAAGAGATTTTCTCTGCAAACATGAAAGATTAACACAAAAGCTGCCGTAAATCACGAGAAGGCCCGGAGGAAACAGGAGAGCACTCACCACCAAAACATCACTCAGTTCCTTCAAATCATCCAGGACCGAGTTGCACAGATTTATGTTCTGAGACAATCTGATCAGTTTTTCCTCAATGGCCTCCACATTCTGTTAAAGTTAAAAAAAAAAAAAAAGTTGTAACGAGTCGGAGAGGCTATATTTGGAGCTGGGGCTGACCTGCTGGAGCGACTCTTCGGTCCCGCCGGCCTGCTGCGTTCCGGAAAAGTCTAGTCCTGGACCGGGAAAAAAATTAACATGAGGGAGACACATGATAACGACCGGAAAAGCCAATTGTGCGTGTTTTGAATACCCTTGTTTGAAGCCATCACTGCCGAAAAGTCTGTAGAATGATTTACATGTCGGTTCTGAGGTACTCACAGGTGATTTGTACGTTCTTAATTAGGTAAGCATCAGCGAAGCGCACCTTTTTCTAATTAGTCGTCAATATCAGCTTCTTATGGTAAACAACTAGAAAATCTAAAATTAACATTGTATTGTCAGTGGATTGTAAAAATACAGTTGATATTTTCATCCCCTGGAATTGCAAAGAAAATTCAAAAGCGGATACAACAAGTAACTGTACCATTTATATGAACAACTATGTGAAAGTTGTTTTTTTTTATGTTTTTCTTAACAAGTTCTTAATGCTAACAGTAGGACGCTGGACACAGAGGCATTTCATTCTGCTGGCTCTTTAAGAAAAGTGACGTTTTCCTTTGTGGGCGTAACCCGGAAGACTGCTGTCATTGCATCAGGCGTCAACATGGAGCTCGCCGTGTAATGGCACAGCTGTCGCTGCTTGGTTATATGAATACGCTTAGTCACTTTGCTGCTTCGTTGATCAAATTCAGAGGAGCCCGCGGTTCAACGGTTCGTTGCGGACTCGTAACAGAAATGTACACAGAGCCCAAGACCAAGCTGCTACGTTTGCTCATGCCGACCTCCGATGAGCCGACGATTGAAACTGGGGTCCAAACAGGTACACGAGGAGAACATCTGGTGCTAACCGATATTTCTGAAAGTGGGAATTCTGTGCTCTTCAAATAAGATGGCTGATCACAGTCTGATCATTTCCCCAGAGTTCACACAAAAACAGGAAAGGTGTTATTTGTTTTGTTTAACAGTTTGAGGAAATCTGTTTAAAAATGAATAAGTCCATTTGTAAACATGATTTCAGATGCATCCTTCCTGTTTGTTTTATGGATTAGTTATTTTCCTGCAAAATCATGTCCTGTTGTGTTTTACTATAAGATTAAATGTGAAAAAAGGTCAACTTTAACATGGAATGCAATAAATAAGAGTCTCTCGCTCTCTTTTACATATTTGCAGAGGAAACAGAGATCCTGAATTTCACAGTGAAGGCTCTGAAAGAAGGTGACATTGTTGCAGTACCCACAGACACCATCTACGGCCTGGCATGTCTTGCCCAAAACTCTAAGGCAGTCAACAAAATCTACAATGTGAAAGGACGGAACGAAAAGAAGCCGCTGGCGATTTGTGTTGGGGAAATTCGGGATGTTTATAAGTGAGTGGGCAGTCTCTGCTTTGATTTGACTTCAGTCTTGATGCTATCTTCCTACTCCAAAGATGCTGAACACAAGAGGCTGGTTATATTCTTTATCAATCAGGTGTCCACTGGCAGTTTAACTGGGATAATTTGTTAATTAACTATCCCATTTTGTAAATCTCTGCAGATTATCCTACATCAAAAACGGAATTAAAAGGCTTTATATTCTTGTATGGATGCAAATACAATCATTTTACTACTAAGTGCAAAAAATGCAGCTGTTGTGATGTCAAATGTCTAAAACGACATTTCCCAGAGCCCAAATAGCTTAATGTCTGAAGGATTTAAGCACGAGAATAAAAAATAGAAACATTTTTAACTTTTTGTCTTTGCAGTAGTGTATTAATCATCTAGTTGTTTTACCTCAGGTGTAAACAATCCTGAATGTACCTGTCGGTTTTAAAGAAGAAGCATCTGGAGTCAGTTTTCTACTACATAAGTACATAAATTGCCTCCCCCCTGACATTTTTTGAGGAATGCTGTTCCACTTGCTCACGTCTCAATGGACAGGTACTGTAAGGTGCGGGTGAAGGAGGAGCTGCTGGTGGACCTGCTCCCCGGTCCCGTCACCCTGGTGTTTGAAAGGTCTAAAGCCCTAAACCCCGATCTCAACCCCTTCACAGCGGTAGGTCTCTGATTCCTGCTCCAGCGTAATGGATGCCAAACAGTGTAACCAGCAATTCGCTGCTTGTGCTCCTCAGCTTGTCGGCGTGCGAATTCCGGACCACGGCTTCATGAGGCGTCTTTGCCAGATTTGTAAGGAGCCGCTGGCCCTCACCAGCGCCAACGTCAGCTCGCAGAGCAGCACGGTGAAAGTACAGGTGGGTGCGTGCCGGCCTCCACACACCGTGGCAGGGCGGCTGCTGGTGCTGAGCCTTATTTTCCTGTGCTCCTGAAGGAGTTTCAGCAGCTCTGGCCCAAACTGGCCGTCGTGGTGGACGGCGGACCGATACTTGACCAGAGCCGCCTCGGGTCAACAGTGGTCAACCTGTCGGTATTTGGAAAGTATCGCATTATCAGACCCGGCTGGTAAGTGAAGCCACCTCCTCACACACCGCCGTCGCTTCCTGTTCCCACATCACACATTCATGCAGAAAGACGCATCCATTCAGTAAAATAGATGCTAGCTCTCCGTCATAAAAGGCCTTTTAACCTAATACCAGGTAACGTTAACATCTTTTAAAAACCCACCAGAGGCTCCTAAAATAAAAAAGTGAGTGCTGACTCACCTCACTATTTTTATGAAACCCATAAATATATCTTGTGAGATCTTTCCGACTAACAAATGTGCTCATCACCTGGTCCCGTCTCAGTTATACAAATTTAGACTGTCACGTACTTTCATTTGGGCTCCATTCACACGGAAAAAAATCATGAGAGAAAAGGTGGAGATAAACAAAGTCCGTTTTCGTGCTCTTACTGCACAGCCTCTGTCAGAGGAACAAAGCGAACACAAAGCATGTGCCAACAGCCTATTCTCAGGAGGTGCTGGATCCTTTCTGCCACCAGCTCAGCAGAGAGATGATTTGTTATGTAAGCTGAAAGATGGATTCAGCCTTTTACAAAGCAAATATTGAACTTAAAGAAAAAAGAGACAGAAATTCATATTTAAACAACTGGATAACCCGCACCCAACCCAAGTTGATTATCGGAGGAAGAATTGATTTATATTGAAATGAACAACCTGTGGAACGCTGCGTTTCTGTCTCACTGAAGCAGCATCACAATGTAAACTTCTCAAAGGCCCTCTTACATTTAGAAACCCTGGACAAATGATAAAATAGAAGCATGAAAAAGTCATCTTTTGCGTTCATTGGTTCACTAAGAGATTGCCTCAGTTGACTGCAGTTCCCCCACAAATAGCTGCCAAAAGGGATCAGATATCATATCATCACTTGGTGTTCATTTTTGCCTGTCTTGACTGTGGGCCTCAGACTCCTTCTGCCCCAAATCTCAAATGTTTGCTCTGAAGTGGACTTAGTACATTGAACAAGAAATGACCCTAATTCTCTTTTCAGTGCCCTTTCTTCCACGCTTGACGTGCTCGAGCGCAAATACGGACTGTCAGAGGACTCGGGGCAAGAATGACCTTTAAACTCTCCACACTCCAAAACACACGCTGAGACGCACAAGCAGCTTTGACACGGCGCTCCTTTCGGAAAGCATGAATCTGTGCATTTCTAACTTTCATAGGGCAAAACTTTAACTCTGAGCTCCTGAGTGCTTTCTTCTTTGGGTGAAGAGATTGTATTTATTTTTTTACCATCCATTTTTTTGGATGGAGCTTAGATTTAGATCCCTGAGCTGTCTGACATTTGTTCATGAATGAGTTGGGAAAGTCCCATCTGTTGTCTCTAAAGCATTTTAGTGTAAATGGTCTCAGGGAAGGAAGGGATGAGCACTTGCGTTATTCACTGTATGAAACTTTGTGGTTACATTAAGGTTAAAGAGTTCTTCAGACTAGAAAGCCCTTGTTTTTTCTTTGAACTATTTTGTAAAGGTATCTCTGCCATATTACTGTAAGTTACAGTTTTCTGTGTAAAACCAAAACTGTGTAACTTCAGATGCATCTTAAATATGAAAATATTGCAATAGCTTCAAATTTAGGTACATTCTCTGTTTTTTGCCAATTTCCTAGTTAAAATTGGATAGTTTCCTTTTTCCTCCATGAAGTGCCTGATATAAGGTTAATTAATGGATTGTGCAATGGCTGTATATTTACATTAAAATGTTTTTTTTATGAATCATTGTCCTCTTTGTGTTTTAGAAACTAAGACTTTTTTTTTTCTCTTTAAGATTTAGGATTTTATTCATGACTGATTCTTAATGGATTGTCAAATGGAGAGACCAGGTATTGAGACGCACCCTTGACGCAGAAATTAAATAAAGATGCACCAAAGAGCACTTTGATCCTCCAACACCAGTCTCAAAGAACCTCTTACTTTTAAAAGAAGCAGAATCTTAATCAAATCCATTTAGAGAAAGGGCCAGTGGTAGCCTTTCTCATAAAGCCCCTCCACAAAATGCGGAGTAAGCCTGAGTCCGTGTGCTCTCAGTGAACTGTGTCACTGTTTATGGCTGAGGGGGGAAATAAGATGAACTACACCAGACATATGATATCATGGCCAAAATGGTAAAGTACTGTGTAAGACATGTCCAGTAAGGAGTGGAAGAAGAAACCGGGCGCTGCTTAGATGATCATCAGCAGGAGGGATGCGGGTCTGGAGCATCCGGTAGTGCCCGGCTGTGATCTTTAAGCTCACCGTAATTCCTCAGCGTACCAGTGCATTCTGGAATCAAATAGGAGGCCGTCAGAAAGAGTGAGCCAAACCTCATCCACAACAGCGCAAGAAAGTGACGATCGCATGGAAAACAGGTGTGTGCTGTAAGGTTCTTCATGTCATTTATCTGTGTTTAGATTTATTTTTATGCCTTCCCCCCACATGACCCCAGTTGACTTGCATTTGCTTTACTTCACCCTCAGCTCAGATCACTGACTCACTGTTTGTTGACTAAATTTTATTTGAATCTGGTCAACTGGAGCAGAAACATCTGGAACATTCAAGGCAGTGGTTCCCTTCTTTGTCATTAACCACGAAGACCTGAAGTCATGTGATCCCCATGGTGGAGTATGTGTGTCCTCGTTTTGACCGCGTTTCATTCCTTGGTTCTCTGGTTTCCTCTCAAAGTCCAGGACATGCAAAGTAGCGTTATGGGTGATCCTAAAATGGCCACACGTGAGTGTAAGCTTTGCCTGGTTGTCTTCGTGTTAACTGGGATGGACCAGGACCAGGTTCAGGGTGCGCTCTGCCTCTCAATCCATATTAGCTGGGATTTGTTCGAGCCCATCAATTCTCTACAGAGGATGAAGTTGATGGATGGCTATGAAATCCACTGGATTGTTATGGATGATTATATCAGTTAAACCTATAAAAAACATAAATGAGAAATAAACTATTCATTTGGTGCAAGAGTGCTGAAAGAATAAGACTGTTTGGTATCTTAAGAGCTGTCAAACCATTTGCATATTTCATTTTCTTTCTTCAAGCACACAAATTATTGATGATATTTTAATAAATTAGCTTCTCAAATACTGATGGATGGATTCAGTAAATACTTAAAATTGCAGTAAGCTTGTCCAGCAGTGAGTAAGACAAACAATCTAGCCTGGTTGTTTCTTAGATTTCTAAGAGATCTGTAATGATGTTCTCACCCAAAAGTCCCCCAGGAAAACGAATTTTAAAAGATAATCCGTCATGCAAAATCCATCATCTCAGACACACACTCTCTTAAGGATCAGTAAGATCAAACTGACTATTAGATATGTTATTTCAGTGGAGAGGAGGACTTGAGTCCTGTAGGTGGTGAAACATTTCATCTACACGAATGGTGGGCAGGAGAACAGATCAGACAGACCTCCAGCGCTCATCTGAGTTTTGGGCTTTTGGTAAAGTTCAAAGTGAATTTCCCACAAATATTTAACGCGAGAAAACATCGTTTGTTTGCTGGATTGTACATTTGTGTGGACGCCATTCCGGGTCCTCCTGCACGCACATCTCAGTCTCGGCCTTTCAGGTGCACAGGACACACTTCCTCCGGTCCGAGCTGCATGGGATCCGTGTGGTCAGGCTCACATCAGCCACTGCTCCTTCTCCTTGTTGAACTGCTCGGCCCAGCGGCGGGTCAGTTCCAGGTAGTGATCGGGCCCGTGAGGCTGGTAGTCCAAGTACACGCGGGTGACGGTTTTCTTGGGCACGGCTTTCTCTATCTGCGTGCCCTCGTGCCACTCGTTGAAAGAGGTGATGGTGACCACGTCTGGCCGCGCGTTGAGCGCTGCCTGCAGGGCCGTCTCGTAGTAGCGGCCGTTCACCCTGTTGCGGGTGTTGTGGTTGTTCCAGGGCCGGACGCTGGTGTCGATGTAGCCGGGCCCCACGCTGGGGATGAAGAGCAGGTTGTTGCCGTCGCAGAAGGCCTTGATGGCCTTCCAGTTCTGGTGCGAGGAGCCGAAGGAGAAGCCGTTGGAGGCGAAGTAGGTGTACATGCCGTCGAAGCCGCTGGCCAGGATGTCGTGCTTGTGACGCTCCTCCACGATCAGCGCGATGAAGACGGAGTCGTAGGCGGAGCCGCGCACGCTGTGGGAGCCAGTGGGGGCCAGAAACTCGGACCAGGCCTCCGGCGGAGTCAGGTAGGAGTCGTAGATGTAGAACATTGGAAGAGTCTTCCCTGTGCTGGTAGTAAATCTATAGAAGGCTCCGTGGTCCCCATACCTGTGAAACAATAGAACAATTTCACTGTCAGCACAAAAGGATTGCTGCATTCCACATTTTTACTGTAAAATATCCCAGTAGTCAGTGTTTTGTATGAAAACCTTTCAGGCGACCTGAACCCTGTTAAAAAAGCCTTCTTATAACTTATTTATGCAGTGCTCAGGAATAGTTATCCAGGCTTCTTGAGGGACACCCAAAACCTTTTCTGTGGACAGTGGCTGCCTTTTGTTCCCTGGTCTGTCACACACAGCTTCACTTGTGTGTAGTTCCAGGCTATGTGGGGGATTAATCTCTCCCGAATATCTGCTGCTTCTGATTTCCAGTCCACACTTTGTGTCATTTGGTATATCACAATGACTGATTTAGCTGTTAAACACCCCCCTTCAAAGTTTTTAAGACAAGACATGCGGATTTTGCACAGGAAATCATGCAGATATTCGAGCATTTGATTATTTCCCAATTTATTTTCTATTTATTATTATTTATATCCTATTTATTTCCATACCACCCACAATACAAATCAGATATATATATATTTAAATATATATAAATGTTTTTATTTTTTTATTTTTTTACTTCTACTTCAAAAATTCCTTCATAAATCATTAAGTTGGTTGTCTATAATCAAAAATTCAACCTAAAAGTCTTTCGATGTTGTAACCTCTGTTTCCTCTGCTATGCATGTAATCTTAATGGTTTTCTGTTTGAGTTGCCTCAGTGATGAAGCGCGGTGAGACAAGCACTTACCTGTCAATGATGTACTTTATATTGTCGTGCACAGTCTGGTCATTCCTTCCTCTATATTGTTGGATGTGAAATGTCACCTTGAATAACAGAAAAACAGGCCCGTGGTTAGTCCGTTCTCACTCGTCATGATAGCAAAGGCGGCACTTCCAAAAGATATTGGATACGTGTTAAATTCAGCTGCTCTCAGATTAGACTTCATGTAAACTGAGAACTGGTGTATAGGATACACGTGAAGTCAAACGTTCTTTCAGAATGACACATCCTTGCTGGAATAGCAGAGTAATAATGTCCTTTCTGAAAATGAAGTTAGTTGCTTGGCTTTTCTTTGAGTAGCTCTAAGGCAAATTGTGACAACAATCTTTAGTTACCCTGTTACAACCTTTGTGTACTGTATTTCTAGAATCCTGTCTAAGGGAGCTGGAGTTTTACCCTTAATTGTCTCTTTTTGCATGCTCTTCTAATGCCCACTTAGATTCTGTTAGAAATTAGCATTTGCTGCACATTTAATGCACGAGAAGCAAAGGAGCAGCAAAGGTTAAAGCAACCTCAAATGACATGTACAGACAAGGCTGAATAATTTAAATGTTGACCAGGGAATTCAGAGTTGAAATTGTGAATCATCAAAGCGAAACACCAATAAACCAGTCAAGAGCATCTAAAGAGAACAATATGAAGAGAAATTGCTTGTAAAAAAATCAAAATCTTCAGGCAATTACCTTTTAAATAGTTTATTGTTTTATCTACACCGAGCTGAAATTTCAGCATAATCTTAAACTCTCATCATGTTTTATTCTGTTTCAGTTTTAGTGATGTTCAACATTTGGCTTTTTTCATGTCGATCTGTTTTTTCTCTCAGCAGGCATCCTAAAGTTCTGTCACAAACGCTGAATACTGCCTGTTTGTTTTGTTGTGCTTTTCTTATTTGTAAGGCCTGTTTGTTTCCTCTTTGTTATTCTTAGTTGTCCTCTTTTTAGACACAGGTAACTGGGGATATCCAACACCTTTTGCCACACTATGAGCTAAATAACTTGGGTTAACTGGGTGAGATCCTAAGTGTTTTTTATCTGCATCAGGATTAACATTTTCATGATACACTTTAACTCCAAAATGGTAACTTGAAAAGACAATAGAAATTACAGCCTAGAGTGAATGTTTATGAGGCCATAACGCTCTGGAGTTTGTGTTAAGCATCAGCCCGGTAAAGTGGGATCCAGTGGGTGCCCACCACATGATTATCACCCAAAAGGAGACACAAAGCCGTTCCCATCTCTATTCACTGAAGCAGAGTTTAGAGCACTGCGAAAGCCGCTTTCCCAATATGCTGTCTCATTGCTCTGTAAGTTTGAAGTAAATGAGAGTTCAGCCATTTAAGTGCCTCATAAATGGTGACATGAGCCCAGAACAACTGCAGCATGATTTACGCTGAGCGGGGAGGAATTTAGTGCCACGTCATGCCGAATGCACAAAGGCAGGGATTACAGCCAACGCAAACACAAAGGTCCAGACCTTTGCTACGATTAGATCAATTTCAACTAGGTTTGAGACATCTCAGCATACTGTGTCACTTTCCTCCTATGGTCAAAGCCAGTGGACAGGAACTGAAGTTCATGTAAGACTAAACGTCATTATGTGGAACCACATATCTTTGGCTCATGCCATCATGGGGCACCCATAGGGCGTATTCCCCAGAGTATTTGACATGGCCTACTTACGAGACAGAATCTCTACATCCCCGCAGGGTGCAGATTGTTCAGAGGCGGAAACTGAGTCACGGGACCAGTGTTGTTCATTCCCCCCCTCTGCTCCTTTCGCCCTGCATCCAGCTACCAATATCCCCCTCCACTGTCCCCATCAAAGCGCCCCCGCCTTCCCTCTGGCAGACAAACTATTTCAGCTCCAGTTCAAGCTGAGGTCAAGCAGCAGCGTTTCTGTGGAGGCTCCATGCGATGAGCTCCCCGACTCTGATGTCCACAGCGCACTAGCTGTGCGTGGGTGCTGCTCAAATACCGTTCACCTTTATATAACCAAAAGTCCACCGCTTTTTTTTTTTTTTTTTTTGTGTGGAGTAACTTGTGATGTGTTCTGTTCACAATAGAACACATCACAAGTTCAAGGTAACGGATGTTGGTATTTAAAAAATCTGTGGCTTTGGTGTTTTTTTTTCTTTACTAGATCTGCAGTGATTACAAAAGAACTAGTAGATTACAGAACTGACAGAAATGTATGTGTCAGTATTTACAAAGTTGGTATTTTCCATGTTCATAGTGTGTATTTCGGGCTACGGAGGAGGGCCCAAAAATAGATGCTTCTAGCCACAAGTCAGTTCAGTCATCAGAAAAGAAGAGCGCTGCATTCCTCCTCCTCACTTTGGAGGAGTGCCACTCTGACGAAAAAGACAGCACAAGTCCAGGAAAGACAGAGGTCAGAACCAAAGAACATGCTGATTCCTGTCCATCTCCCGCAGAACGCTGGCATGCATCTTCACAGCTCATTGGCTAAGGTGTTGTTTCTATGTCCATAGATTTATATTTCTGTCCATTTGAACAGACTTTTCAGCAGTTTGATGCTGCAACTGTGGGAGATTAGATTTCCCATCGTAATGTTTGCTCTATATTAATCTGAAGTAAGAACAGGTTTGGTCTGGTCTGAAGAGTGTGCAAAAGCTTTGAAAGGCAACAGTAAAAATGTGTATTTTGTTTCCTTTTTAAGTGTCTTTAAGGTCTTTTGGGCTGTTTTTACTGCAAGTAGCGCTGGAGTGTTTTTATAAATGTGACGAATAGAAGAATAGTGTTAAAACTGTTCCACACATGGAATATTTTTTTAAAAAGAAAAAAAAAAACAACAACCAAACATTAAATGCTTTTTAATTCACTCAAGCACGGAACTATTTTACCGCCACAAGAGGACTGCAGAAGCATGTTTCCTCCATCTATGTGCCTCACTTGGGATCCCCCCGTCCATTTACCTTGTCTTTTACTAGATTAAAGCATTGAAATTATTTAAGGCTCCATCAGTACCACCAAATGATCACAGAGACCTTTTTTTTTTACCTTGCTGACATTTTCTGAAATAATGTGAGACATGATCCAAAAATACGAGCAGCTCTGTGCAGAAAGAGTAAAAGCAGATCTGACAGAGGAAACTGGGCTGTGCAGAAATGTTCATTCTAAACCTCAGTGTGACTTTCTAAAGGCTTTCATTAAGCACAGGAATGAGCTGACTCTTTATCTGTTACATGCTGTAATATGAAAGAGAGTTGTTGCAATTCAACTCAGCTCTTCTGCATGCTTTTCACAAAAATGTCATGCTGGCTTGACAGCAGATTACAATGAAACATGGGCTTAAATTCACTCGATTAGCCTCTTTCCCGACAGCTTTATTTGTAAAAACTCATCCGTTCAGTGTTGCATGTCTAATCCCTGTGCTCTTGTCTTACCCTTGCAGAGATACTTTATTTATTTGCCTGCAGCCAGAAAACATAAGAAACGAATGTGATATCAAATCTGACAGTCTGGCCTCACAAACACAGACACTCACACCCACTGGGGTTGTTTATAGAGTGGACAAGGCAAGTGTGTATTTCAAAGCTGCTAGAAGACAAGTTAACTTTATCTTTGTGAACAGTAAGCAGACCAAGATGATCAGCTGTGTCACAATAATGCTTAGTAATGATGTCCGTTCTCAATAACTCAGCCTTCTAGATGTTCTTCTGCCAACAGCGCAATTCACAGTGAACAATGGGTAGGAATCTTTATTTGGAGCAATGTTGGTATTTTCTGTAATAAAACTAACTCAAATTATTAGTCAGGATACTTTTAACGATCTAACTTAAATATATATAGTACTTATTCATCATTAAAAGGTTTAGTGAATTCCTCTTTTCACATCATCTGCATGCTTTGTCTTTAATAGACATCTGCAAATGCAGCTGTTGCATTATTAATGGCAGCTGCATTGAAACGCGAATTGTAGAAGCTTGTTTCCCTGTCGGGTCGTCATCTCAGATCTAGTCAAAGAATGCAATTAAACTGGCAATTTTGACCTAAAAAACATGGATATGTGACATATGTTCACATACCATATTACCCGTATACCACCAAAATATTTCAGATCGATGTCGGCTGTTTCTTCCACTGTGTCCCTTTCTGACCTAAATGGCAAATGGCCCAGTGGTTTCCGACCCTCAGTCATACATCTTCACCCTTCATGTAACAACTCATCCAGCAGCTGCAGCCATTTGACCTGTTTTCTGCTCCAATGCTGCAGATGTCACTGCAGCTACAAACTATCTGACACAAGTGAGAAAAACAGCGGCAGGACTTCATTTCTTCTTATTCTTCTGTTAACGAAAGGATCCTGTATATTTTCCCCAGATACCACTCAACTAGATTAGCATCACATGGTAAAGAAAATGTGTCACTTAGCTCCTTTTTTTTTATCCCAATATGAATAAAAATCCCTAAACATATTTTATTACAGAACCTTAACTTTTTAAAGACATACAAACATATTTGTTCTGAATTAGGCATGCCTCCCTCCTTTAGGGGTTAATGATATAACATTATATAATACTGTGTTGGATATTAAAATCTGATATTCGCAATCTCACTTGAGAAGTCCAGTAAATTCATTCCATGTCCACATTAAAGACAACACAGCCTTCTTTCTGTTTTTGCTGTTTCTGTTTTGTTCCTTTTTAAATATGTATATTTTTCTTAATCTATTGTTCACTATTGCATCAGCAGTGTCTCAACATTTGACCTTTATTTTTTGTTTAGAATTTTCACTCCATTAAAACCATGCACAGTGTTATGATTATTTTTGAGTTGGCATCACAGACCATATGTCTGTTGTGTAACTGCTTTTTTTTCCACTTTGCAGTTTCTGCTTCAGATTCAACTATAAATCATACTGTGGTGGAGCCTTTGGGTTTACTACGTCAGCCACATAGTTTGATCTTTTTATCTGTTTCAAATGCTTATTTTTATCTACAGGTAATTATCTCGATTAATGACATACTTCAAAACTTTAAACAGAATTACAAGTGAAATTTTTATTTTGAGCAGATGTTTGATGTTATTAGGTCAAAACAGTAGGAAAAAGATTATAAGTCCTTTCTTGCAACAGCAGATGAAAACTAAATATTCCTGGATATCAGGTTTAGACCAGATTTGATGAAATGTTTCCCCTTTGACTCCTGGGCTCTTTCCTCTCTAGATTTCGGGTTTCTTACGCACATACACACACACACATACACACACCAAAAATGAGCTGGTGTCTTTTACCTTGAGGTTGTGTCTGTAAGCTGCATCCAGCACAGCTGGTACCATATCCTCAGCGGGTTCCCCGTTGTCATCAGCCAGGCCAGGGGGATACCAGGAAAGAACCAGAACTCCTAGAAACTCGGCACAAATTAAACAGTTTAATAATGCCTTGAGTCTTTCTAATTGCTCTGTTAAACCTTTTGTGATCACTATAAATTTGCACTCAAATTCTTTCGTCTACTTCTGTCTATTAAGTCAGTGGCAATTTCTCCAAAGGTTCATGGTGTGAAAATATATACATTTTTCAACAGAATTCCTTAGTCTTACTGTGTTGCTGGCATAAAAAATGACTTCATATCAGCCATAGTGGTGCTTGGCACCAGAGGAAAAACTGGCACATCAGATATACTGTACACTCAGATGTAATTCATGTCTACTTGCTGGAGGGACTATCACATTACACCACCCAACCATATCTGCATGTATAAAGGATATGAGCACTTTGATTAATTCCATTTCTCAGAATAAGGAGTGGCAGAAGATCATCAAATCAAGTGGAAATGTTCAGAGTTTGGCTCCTGTTGTGTCTAATTAAATGGATTGTTTTAACGAAGCATTGTGAGCCAGGACTCCCATGATCCATCCGTTACAGAGATGAGGTTTCACAGGACTGGATAGTCTGCTCATCATTCCGGATGGTGTACAATAACCCATTGAGCCGCGGGGGGAAAAAAACATTAGGACCTATTGTGTAGTCTCCCGATGTCTAACACATAAGTCTGTTTTTGACACCACACAGGAGACTTTGTACTCATTTAAGCAAGTCAAAGACGGTTTTTGGATTTAAAAAAACAAACATGTAATACTTGAGATTTACATGATGATGTGATTTTTGAAGAATGAAGTTCAGAGATAAGGCTGAGTTCTGAATGAATACTGTGCATTAAGATATATAATTATTTCAATAACATACACATTCCATCATTTGACAGGTATTGTACTTCTAATATGTGGTCATTTAATAGGTTTAGTGCTTAAAGTCTTCCTGGGATAGAAGTGCACGGATATTTTAGTGGGATTCAATCCGAGCGTGCAGGGAGCTGTCCACCAGATGCGTGGTGCTGAAAATGTTCATCGCCCCTCCAGCTAAAACGGATGCCGTTCTGTGCTTAGAGGAGGCAGATTTCTTTTCAGCTGAGCACGTAAAGCAACCCAAAGGTTGCATCTCTGAGCTGTACCTGCTGCGGAGGTTCCGATCTGCTCCATGTGGGACTCCAGCACATCCGGATCCCGGGAGCTGTACGGGTTCAGCTCGGGGTAGAAACTGGAGCCGATGTCCTCCGGTGGCATGTGTCTCCCCCTTGGGTAGCTGGAAGCGATCTTTGGGTCCCAGTGAGGGACCAGAATGTGGTCCCAGTGGATGTATTTCCCGTCCATGTACGGGCTGCCGTACCATGTGTAGTAAAAAATATGAACGTCATAGAAAATGATTCCCTCGGGACCGGAGTTGGACAAAACTGCTTTGGTGTGGCTGGCCGGCGGATTGGCGTGATCCGGGGAAAGTGTCGCGTCACGGGACACGGAGCGCCGGTCCATCTTTCCTCCCAACATCGGAAGGAGTTCCAAACCAGGAGCCAGATCCGAGAAGCCGTCGGTGGGCTTCAGGGTCCTCAGTCCCATTAAGCTCCCAAAAACGAAAAGCGTAAACAGAAAGAGAGCGATGCAAGCCTTCCTCCGCAGCCTGGCCATTGTTGGTATAGGAGTTAGAGGAGCAGAGCAGCGCGGAGCTGCAGACGAAGAGCGCAACAACAACAACAAAAAAAAGCTCCGTCCTACGTCTGCACCGAGAGGGATCACCGACTCACAACCTCACAAGAGGGGAAACCCTCCTAAGAGTCCTGCAGGACATCTCGCAATTTACGCATCCGTCTAAAAAAGACCAAGCTTACATGATTGTGGGTCGGTCGCAGCAGACAGTCTGACGCAGGTGCACGTGGGACTTTAACTTTCTCCTGCACCCTTCGTCTCTCATCCTGCACCCTCCTGCACAAACTCCCTACGAAGCTCCGCGATCTGCGAACGCGTGCGAAGAAGCCTGAGCCTCCAAAAAAAATAAAATGCAGTCGACGAAAATGTCTCCCGCCGGTCTCCAAACAAACTCTGAGCTCCCCTCCCCTGCTCCAGCCGAGTGCCACACGCGAGCTGCGACAGCTGACCAGCGTCAGCGCGCAGGAAGGATGCTGACCGGTGCTGCTGCCCAGAGGAGCTGACCGGCTGGGCTTTTTTGGAGGGTTTGTATTGGATGCCAGAGAGGCGGGACCTTTCCCGTCATCGTTCAGCCTGCGCGTGGCTGCACACCCTGAGAGATGAACTATTTAGTAAATATGTAGTATTTTTTCAAAGAGCAGTAAACTGATGGATGCTTTGGCCATAGGGACTGAGCTTTCGTCGTTAATATCAGTGAAGAGACCAAATCACCGTGACTCATCTCCTTTCGTTTGAAATAAAGTTTGTAAAGTTAAATGATGTGCTCTTTCTCGTAAACTTGGGCTGAGTCTCTATTCAGGCTGCCATCTAGTGGTAATTTCACAATCCTCTTTATAACGTTGCATTCTTGATTCATGGTATGGCAGAATTTAAAGGAACTCGTGTGATCAAATCTAAATTAAATGGAAGTGTAGAGCACAGTAGATGAAGACCAAACACAGGTCAGATTACTATCAAACGTATTATCCTTGTTTATGTTCTGACCGGTTTAAAAACTGGACACACATTTGCATATAGATGTAATTGTCTCCGCAATATGATGATATGTGGTAGTTGGCTGGCTTCAGTCAGAAAGCTTTGGCTTCTGGCCAAAATATTAGGCAGCATTTCGAGCTACTGACCTCTGCGATGGAAACTATCCGACTTGCTGACACTTCATTAAATGGTTGTCTTCATCTACTGAGCACTTCCTTCTGAGCGAGGGGTTTAGCATTTCAGTCGTTTCACAAATTCACCATATTCAACCTAAATGAATAAAAATTTGTCTTATTTTCCGTGCTTTGCGAAGACAAACAAATGTATTGTTGTAGAGACTAATTACTACTGACTAATTAAAGATCAGAGGTGTCAGTCAATTGTGATCAATCCGGTTCAACTCTAGATGCCATTAACAGTCAATTGATTTGTATGATTTTCATGTCATTCTGCAGATGTAGAGATTTAAAAAGGTAATTGTTTTTCTATTATTTGTGGTATGGCCTGTGTTTTTATAACTGAATTTTAATCCTCACTCCTGTAGTGACTGGTTTATCATTTTCCCAACATAAAGTCAGATCTGCCTAACAGCCCAGTACCACCATCATTACTGAGCATTATTTTTTAAGCCACAAGGTGTCGCTGTGGTCGTGGTGATAAATGCACATCGCATTAATGCACGTGTGGCCTCTGAGACACAAATTGCCCCTCATACATTTCCGATTCAAGAAAACAAGATGGGTATTTGAACTATATCCTACTAATTATGACAGAAGAATGAAGAAAAATAAGATCTCAAAAAAGTCTTAGACCGGATCGTCTAACCAGGTCTGAGGACTTTGGGGGACCATTGATTTTCCTTTTTTCACAAATATACTTAAAAAATGTAAAAGTTGATAAAACAGACAAAGGGGGTTTCTTTGTGTAAAACTTCCTTAAGATCTAAAAAGAAATCCAGACGATTTAAAAATTATCGAAAATTTATTTTTTCCCAAAATAAAACCAATGATTAAAAAAATTCAAACATTTAAAACATTCTCAATAAAACATTTGCCCCGTTTTAAATGCAACATAACCGTTTATCATCATTGTTTTATTTTAATCATAGTGTCTTTTTGGGGATTTGGTGTGTTTTGGGGTTGATCAGATTTCCTCTGTCTTTAACTCATCCATCATTCCACAAGGACACGTGTCAACATCTTTACATGATGTGATCAATCACTATTGATCCGTGAATTCGTTTGCTGGTTTTCACGAAGCACCCTCAAATCGTGGTTTGGTTTCACAAACCGTTTCATTGCCCATCTTTCTTGTTCGTTTGAGCACGCCCAGGTTTCGCTCCCCAATTTTCTTCACATATGGCTTTTGGACCCCTCTCAGGTCTTCTGTCCTCTTTAAAGAAGAATCTGTATGTTAAGGGTGGGGGTGGGTGGGAGGAGGAGGGAACCCTCTGCTTCCTCAAAATGCCATCTGGATCAAGAACAAAAACCTACCATTTGCATATTAAGGCAGCATCTTACTGATTTCTAAAATATATTTGTGATTTTAAATGAAGAATTGTAAACTTAAAATAAGGATGCAATCTTGTTTTGTTTCTGTTTTAAACCCACCCAAAAAGTATTTTTTAAATAATAATGTATGCAAGGTTTAGATGTTTTTAAACTAATATGATTCACTTTTATGATTTCCCTAATCTCCCATTCCACTTTACTATCTAAATCACACGTCTAATCAGTCTAATCAGGTGTTATTTTTATTATATAATTGTTGTTGTTGTTTTTTATTCTTCCAATCGGAGTCACAGTTCTAAATTCTGAACAGGGGTCTTTTGGTTGAATCAATATCTACTATAAACTGCTATAAACTATAAGAATATTAATATTTTCGTGTTTTTTCTGATTGGCTCTTCTGTGACAATGCATGTTTCCTTGGGGACTGTAAACGTGAATCACGTGGACGTGACCGAGCGTGTGGGGGTCTGTTGGATGAGAAATTGCCATTTATATTGACCAACTGTGCTGACCAGTGCAGGAGAGCTAAAACTCGTCTCAGGATAGAAAAACCAGGGTTCAGCAGCAGTGAACATTTGGAGTCAAACTGGCCCCATGGCAGAAGGTATGCTTTTATTATGATCGTAATAATAATAGTTCTTATTATTATTATTTCAAGTTTAGTTTTATCTCTCAGAGTGCTTGGAGTGCCTTATGGAGGGCCATGGTTTGGTCTCATTGTTTAAGGTGTTATTGGTGGTGGTGGGGTGTCCTCCAGCAGAAATTCTGCCCGTTGACCCCCCCACCTCTCATTGTTTAGGGGGAATAGGTTGCCAGCCCCCTTTTGTTTACCTCCCTCTCCCGCTTTCCCTCTCCCTGCGCAGTTTCGGCTTTTCACAGCATTTTGCATGAAAGTGGCAATCTGTGAGGATTACCCAGTTTGAGGGCCAGAAAGGATACTGTAGCTTGGGTGCTAATTTTGACTCAAGGCAGAGCCGAGGACATGGGATCCGTTTCCAACCAGGAGTTTCCAGGTTGAGTAACTTTTATAAGCTGCACTTTGGTGCTTCGCGAGTTAATTGAGTTGTGTTTCTGAGGGACCGTCTCTCTCGTTGTGGTGGATTATTCCCAGGCATTGTTCACACACGTGATTTGAAATGCCTCACACGCTCTTTTGGAGGCTCACACACATCCCAAGCTTGGAAGATGACTTATTTTCTACCGATCTGTGGCGTGTTCGCGCAGAAACCTTAATGGGACTCGTTTCTGTTGTGTGTGTGTGTGTATTTTTTTTTTCTTACACCGGCTGAGTTGTGTGTGTGTTCGGATTCACAGCGACTGCCGATGCGGTTAAACGACAGACAAGTTTTGGAACCTGAATTTTCAGCTTTGTGCCGCGTTTTAAAACGCAATTTAAGTTTTTTTTTTTTTTCTTTAAAACACCTTAAACTGCAACATGCGCCCCAAAATGTTTCTAATTGCAGGAGTGTGTAAGACTGAGGAGGATGAGGGACCGAGCACAGAGGAGGACTCGCAGTCTTTCCACGGGGTCGGCGTGTGCAAGTGGTTCAATGTCCGCATGGGCTTCGGATTCCTGTCCATGACCAGCCGGGAGGGAGTGCCGCTGGACGAACCGGTTGATGTGTTTGTCCACCAGGTAGGATCTGCTAATGTGCCTTATCTGCATCAAACCAAACCCTGGACTGGTGTCGGACTTCTCACTGCACCAGACGAGGCTGAAAGATTCGTGAAGAAAGATTTTTAATCTTAGGGAGAGAGAAAAATTCTTATTAACAGGAAGGAGATCCCTCCACCTGTTTCCAATGCAGCTTAATCAATTTAGGATGTTTGTCTTCCGTTTTAGTCCAGGCAGAAATCTCTCACCAGGTGTGTGTGTATATATAAATATATATATATAGACACATTTATAAACTAAAATTTAAAGTTCAGCTGTAAAGTCAGTAGATTGGATTTGTGTGTTTACTAAAGTGTAGACTCTGGGCTTCATCAGTTACATTGAAATGGTTTTTGTTGATGGTTTTTGGTGCTGGAGAGCCTCTGCCCAATGAAAGAAACAAACAAACACGTGTTTTAGCTGAAGGAGAGAAGCCGGTCTCCTTGGAGTTTTAGGACCCTGACATGAAGTGATGGAGACATAAAAATAAAAATGCGGGTTTGTTGCCGAGGGAGGCTTTAACACTTTAACAGGCTTACATTAATGCCTCCGAGCTGCATGAAAACTGACCCTGTGTACAACAAGGGGCCATAAGTAACACCCCCACCACACACACACACACACACACACTTCTGGGGATGTGGGATGCCCCTATTGTGGAGTGATTTAGACATTTATGCTCCATCTCACTAAAAAGTGATTCTACCTTTCGACCACCCTTTTTTTTAAGGTTTGGGGTGCAATTTTTGCATCTCTCCTAATTTGGTAATTTTATATATTTCCTTTGTTTGAGTCTCTATTTGATCTGCTTACTGGTTCTTTGCATATATATATTGGTTAGTACTTTTATTTGTCTTAAATCTATCAATCATCCCTTGAAATTTCCTTCTTTTGACCTAAAAAATGGTCCAACCCTTCACACACCTTTTAAGGTTCACATGAAGGAGTTAGAGGGAAGGAGCTTAGGTGGAGGAGCAAGCGCCTTCAGTTATGTCTGATAAGATAAAGGTTTAGCATGTGAATGAGAGGCATTCCCATTCACCTCAAAGTTCCTGTCATAAAGTGATTAAAGGCTCTCTGCTGTCTGCTCAACCCCCTGTGTGTGTGTTTGTGTGTGTGTGTTAGTGCTACACTACCCTTTATAGCTACAACTCCTTTGAAGAGGACCACAGGTTTTATTTTAGGTGTATTTCCTTATTCACACTCCTTCAGTCTGTGGTCCTCTAGTGTGGAGACACCGGTCTGAAAACATCCTAGTCAGATGTTTAAAGAGAAATGTTTGTTTGCCATCAGTGGATCCCGATAAAGTCGACTCTGAGTCTCGAGCAGCTCTTGTTTCTGAGCCGTGTGCTGGTTTCAGTGCATGTAGAAAGAATTCATGCTCTGTGGAAACGTTGTAACTGAAATTTTACCGGAAGCTGTTACTTGATTACTCATATTGCAAACCAAAACAAGAGTTCAGTTGAGGATAGAAACCTCCAGGTTAGCGCTTCAGCAGTTGCATAGGTTTAACGAAATTTGAAATGGTAGGTGGTGTCAGTATGGCTTTTCCTGCCAGCTGTCGTTATATCATGTTCGAATAGTCCAGGTTATTGAATTAGGGTTGCTACAGTATTTTTTGTTTTTTGCTCTAATGCACATTATTGTATTTAATCAAAATAAAATCCTAAACACTTTAACTTTGATCTTCATCCCAAACGCATGGCCAAAGTGTGACGCAAGCGTTGGTGATAAATGTGCTGGGGTTATGACAACGTAAGGGCCTCGGTTCTAAAATTAGTGGCCACGTGTCAATGAGAATTAAGCCCCAGGGTCCCCTTGCCTTTGTGCAGGTGGACAATGGAGCCATGCATCCGAATGAAGCCCTCCTCAGTAGTGACAGAGCCCTCCTTTGTCCCTGCAGAAGTCCTGGCATTGTCCCTCGCTGCTCTGATGTCTTTCTTTACCTCGCTTAGCTTCCAGACGTATTCTGGACATAGTTTCTAGTAGACCCCTAGTAGCACCTTAACATCAGATCGTTGATGCTGAAAGACCACACCCGTATTCTCTACCTGTGTGAAAATAACCTGATCATGTGGCTGCTGGAGCTCAGGTTACATATAAGAAGAGGGTTTCTCATCACCTTGCAAGGGATGCCTCAATGGTGTCCATGTTGCCAATTAAGTGTCATAGCTCACAAATCAATAGCAGATACTCAACATTTAGTGAATTTTTTTAAAGATTAGAGAAGATGGCACTGTGGTGTTGAATCTACAATTAATGCTGACATTGTTGCTTGTTCTTGGCTTGTTTTTTCTAATGTAATTTAGGGATGCGCCACCTAGATTTAATTGAGACAGTAGGTCTGAGCCTCCTGGATAATTGCTTCTTGGGTGATTTTCTTCCGGCTGGAAACAACTTATTTAACCCCGACTGATGCAATGACTTGCTTCTTATTTCCAAAACGATCGTGTCAAACGAGGCATCGTTCAGTTTGCTAGGGAACATAAAGGCTGGAGTCTGGGGCAGGGGAAGAAGGTCATGTGGTCTGATAAATCCAGATTTACTCTGTTATAGGGTGTGGGCAGTTTAGTGTAAGAAGAGTGGACAAAGTGATGCACCCATCTTGCCTTTTCCGTTCTTTACAAGCCTTTGGGGACACCGCTATTGACAGGGTTACTACATTTGGTCAGGTTGAGGTTAAGGAACACTCGCTCAAAGAATGAGTTAAGTTGACTATCTGACCAAGTTATTCCATCAACGGATTAATATTCTTCCCTGATGGCACAGGGATATTCCGAGATGACAGTGCTGGGGATTAATCGGGTTGGAAAGACTGGTTCACGGAGCTTGAAAACCTGAGCCCCACTTAGGATCTTTGAAGTGTGCTGGGAAGGCTTTGGGAAGTAGTCAGGTTCTTCCCATCATCAACACAAGATCTGGGTGAAAAAGTGATGCAGCGGGATGGAAATAAATCTTTTTACATTGGAGAGTATGAATTTAATTTTATCTTAGTAATATATCTTTTTTTGTTTTTGCTTTTGTGGCGACTCTTTTTTTGGGCCAGGCAGTGTATATTAAATGCTTCCTTGAATCCTTTTCGATCATTACTTGTTCTAAATTTATCTTCCAACAATAAATTGCGTGCTTTGTTTGATCCCGGTGGTTTTGACTGTGTCAGCAGACCATTGGTCGGGAGAGATATATGGATGCTGCTTTGCTTGAAGTGTAACCAAAGAAATAGGATTAGTCTATCAAAACAGACTTGCTGAATTAATAGATTGCTTTTCTTTTGTCAACAGTTTGCGTGCCTATTTAATCTCACAGTCCCACCAAGGGAGTTTCATAAAGGGGATTCCCATGATGCATTAACTGGTCTGAGGGACTTATCCTCAAACCTGCACCACACCTTTCCTTCCTGTATACACCTTTTATTTCTTTGCGAAGGGGAAATGTTTTTTCATGCATTAAGAATAACCTTTTTCACTAAGATACAAACAGTGTGAATACATTAGTTGAATATTCATACTTCAAAGTCCATTGTTAATAAGCAAACACGCCACTCTACCTTTTTGCTCATAAGAATTCAGTAAAATCATTTTTTCTCATCAACGCATCCGTAATCTCGGATATCTGAGGCAGATATGAATCAGTTATGCTTTCCCTCAGTTTGTATCTTTCTTGTCTCTCTGCCAAACAACTATCCAATGAATGTCACCCTGACCCCCAACCTCACAGAGAAGCCTCACTGCCATGTCACCCCACCCCCAACACGAGCATCGACCAAGCCCTGCATCCTGTAGTTTAGGGTTAGTGGTGGTCAATGTGTTAGTGAAGCTTTGAGATGTGGGTGGGAAGAGGGATGGGGGTGGGGGCGGCAGTGTGGAATGCTGTTCCTCTGGTGGGGAGGGGTGGGTTGAAGGTTATTCTCACCAGGTTTACCACTCAGACACACAGAAAAGACAAAGCAGCATTAAGGTGATGAGGTTAGCAAAGTGTGGTTGTGTGAAGGGGAGGAACAATACGCTTTGTGGGGGCTTGTTTATTTTTCAGGTGAAGCACCTCAGTGATCACCTTAAAATGCCAGATAAGCGCTCTGATGAAATCACACATATAGGAATGAATGGGGGGTTTTCTCAGAGGTCAAAGTCTCCACACGCTCACTGGGGAGGTAATCTGGTCAATATGGGGACTTTCCAAACATCAAATTATCACCATGTATTCCTCACTACGACTTGAATTATAAAGGAAATTAAGTCTTAGTAAGAAATACGAAATCATTCCCTATTTTACAGATCGTAATCAGAACATTTTTCACATAAGTGGACGTTAAGCCAAAGTAGCTAATGTTGAAAATGTTTTCACTTTGTTCCGTTTCAGAGCAAGTTGCACATGGAAGGCTTCCGTAGCCTTAAGGAGGGCGAAGCAGTCGAGTTTACCTTCAAAAAGTCATCAAAAGGCTTGGAGTCGCAACGAGTTACTGGTCCAGGTGGCACCCACTGTGTGGGCAGTGAGCGGAGACCCAAAGGCAAAAAGGTCCAAAAGCGGCGTTCAAAGGGAGACAGGTGAGCTGGGAGGAACTCGGGAAAACTTGGAAAGCTATTTCAGTGTCTGAAGCCTTTAAGTAAGTCAGCTGGGAAATCTGATACATACAAGATAATATGTGTAATGTGCATTTCCTTTTTGTTTGTATACATGCAAAATCATTAAACGCAGGGTGCATCTGGCATAGAACAGAAAACTTGAAATGGCTGCCATTCATAAGAAGTCTGACAAAAATAACCTTGTTTATATTCAGTGATAATAAAATGCTCTTTCAGACAGCTTTTTATCAATGAAATTTGTGAAGGCAAAGTAGAATTATGTAAACCATTGTATGCATGCCATCGTCTTAGTTGGCATATTCTTCAAAGAAAGTTATAAAACATAGTTTTAGAGCTTAACACGGTCAGCAATGCACACAAAGTCATTCCTGTGTTCAGTTTGGATCAGATGTACAATGATGTTGTAGTTTCTCCCCATTTTCCTTCCTTTTGCATGACCCCCAACCCCCTCTGTACCCAGCAAGGGTCACATCAGCAGGCCTGACATGTGACCTGGATCAATAACTGTTTAAATCTGCTGGTCCCTGGTGAATTCAAACCAACCCACTTTCTCCTTTCTCCTACTAACCACTTTTATACCTTTTGTCACTTCAAAACCGAACTGATAACAGAAATGGACTCAAAATTTTCCCCAGATTTGTTGTGAGTGTGTAGGTTATTATATAACCTTGTTTTTTCTTAAAGAAAATAACATTTTAAAAGCATCATGCTTTTATCATTTGATACTACTGGGGAGGGGGGACTACATATCCATGGACCCCTCCACCCTCAGCACCCACTTTATACAGAGTTTTCTAAAATTTGGAGATTTTTAAAATGCTCCTGAATTAAAATACTTAGAAATACTTATAAGTGTGCAAAATGGGGGCTGGGGGCGGGGTCCCATTGAATATCAATGTGATGCAGGTTTTAAGGTGCATCGTTTTAACCTCCTGTCAGTTGTGATTACAAACAGGGGAAGATGAGTGTGAGAACATAGATCATTATAGCCTCAAAGAGTCCTGTGAGAACGTGGTGGTTCAATACTTCTTCCCAGACCACACTGATCCATGGATAAGACATAGTTCCCCCCAGCATATTCCATTATGCGACACTAGACTGTGTTCCATGATTTGTGCTTGATTAACTGATCAAGTTTATAACCAAATGAACAGAATGGACACTTCTTGAATATTTCTTAAGATGACTGAAGCTGATTCTGGTCTGTAGTTCCCACCTCTGAATCTATAAAACATAAACCAACACCTTTGTGAGGTGTGTGCATGTCATATGCACAATGAATGACTGAGGGAGGGGAAAAGCTCCTGTCCATTTAATTGATAACAGATGCAAGAGCCCAGGCAGGGGGGTGAAAGGTCATTGTTGTCATGGCAACTGTGTATGAATAAAAGGAAGAGAGCTGGGGGCTTGGATGGGATTGGGGGAGGTTGGGGGTCAGGGTTCAGGGGTCATTATTGCAGCTTTTTTAGACAAAGGGACCACTTCCACTTGCCTCCTGATGGATGTTGATGTAGGGAGCTTGTGTGATGTGACGTTATGGACCTTGACTCAACTGAAACAGCCAAGTGCCACAAAGCCGCTCTGACCCCTCAGCATCCATCCTGTTCAGATCTCATCTGCTGACACAAAGATGGCAGAGGGGGGTTCCACAGAGGCTCAAAAATACAGCCCCACGCCCACACCCCATCTGTCTTCCACCCCTATGCTCACGGCCATTCTATAGATTATGTTCAAACAGTGGTGGTTTGATGGCACCCCTGATGGCTCTGAGTGACCCCACATAGTGTTCCTTTCTAAAGTTCAATGCTGATGAAATGGACGCCACACTTTTTTACAACGGGGTCCAACCGGAAGCTTCTGTCAGTGACAAACTGCTGACATCACTTGAGATAGCCCACATTAATATACTTGACAGTTGTTAACTGTCACTTGTGAAATCATCTGCGTTTTCTATGGTTTGCCAATAAGATATCATACATTTTGGTTGTAGGTTGTGATAAACTAAAGAGACATGGGCAGTTAGATTGTTAAAATCTGTTGAACCCTTCCCAGAGTTGTGTTGTGTGCCCTGGAATGCCCTTTACACTTTGGAAGAAAGACAATCCGCAGTGGAAAGGTTGCCATCTAGTGGCACACTGTCGTAAACCAAAATCCTGACAGCATTATAATGTTTCCAGAAAGCTCCTATAATCAATATTTTGCCGGCAATAGACCACTTTATATCTATATTAGCAAGAGTTAAATATTTATGATTGAACCAGAGCTGTCACTGTGCATTTTGGCATTTTTGCTGGGGTTGGAGGAGGCCTAAGTTGCATTTGCAAAGAGAAGGTGTATTGGATTATACATTGAATCTAATTACTTTCTGCCTGTAAGAACAAGCCATTGTAATTTGAATGTTTTTTGCAAGACATAAAGTTATTCTCCACTGGCGCTACCTGAGAGAGCCTTGAAAGATTGTTACAAACAAACCTAATAGAGTCTGTCTACTTTTGTAGGTGCTATAACTGTGGAGGCCTGGATCACCATGCCAAAGAGTGCAAGTTGCCCCCCCAGCCCAAGAAGTGCCATTTCTGCCAGAGCATTGACCACATGGTCGCCAGCTGCCCAATCAAAGCACAACAGTCCTCACCTGGTTCTCAGGGAAAACCGTCCTCCTTAAAAGGAGATGAAGGAGAGCCCTCGGGACCACCTCCCGAGACCTCTGATTAGGCTGGAGATCGGGCCACGCTGAAGCACAGAAGCCAATCAAAATGCTTTAATGGCCAGGAGGAAGACACAATCCTCTCCTGGCTTTTGAAGCAGTTTTTGGAAATTCCTCAGGTTTAAAAAAAAAAAAATACACACAAAGAATGTTTTTCATTTTTATTTGTTGTAACACTCAGGAATACTGCTGTTTCTTGCACTCAGGAAGCTTGCTAAATGCATTAATCACTGCTGTTACAGAGGCTTGAGATGGAAGGGTAATGACGTATAACGAGCGGTCTTGACAAGCTTTTGCTGATGTCTTCTGACACCGTGCCTCTCTTTTAGGCTTTATACATCCTCTTTTTTTTGTGAAATACTTATTATGTTCTTGTAGAGCTACACTTTTGCTGCCTTACCAATTTAGTCTCCTTGCTAACACTGTTCACCATCAACCAGAGTAGAGATGTAACAGTATCGCTACAATGAATGTTAGCTGGAGAGGATTGGTGAAAAAGTGGGATAGAAAATAGCTATATGTAATGGATTGGCATTTGTCAGCACAGTATTGCAGTTGACCATCCAGTTTACCTGGGGCCGAATGAATGTCAGACCAAAAGTGGTTTCCAGTTTTTGGTCAGTTATATATATATTAAGAATTTAATTTTAACCATTGAGCATTTTGGCTCGTCTGGTCTACCTCACTGACCTGCTGCCCTACTGGCTGCTGGTAAACCAAATATTCTCAGGCTGCAGCTTTGGAGATTCATGAGTTTTGTTTTTGTTTTTTTAGGAGAGGGGAGGGGGGGATTAAATCAAATCCTCTTTGCACTACATCATATTCACAGACTGGCATTAATTTTGATATACCTGCCTAATAAGTGACATGACAATGCCCTAAAATCCAATTAACTGTGAGTCAAGTGTCTTAGCTGCTGCTCAGGACACATGTATTTGATGGTTACAGATTAAAAACGGAAGCATCAACACACACCTATGACATGTCCAGAAAAACAAAACTCATGGATTTAAGGGGGAGTTGTTAAAAATGTTCAGTTTAGAGTGATGACCAACCATCAAACTGGAAACAATCTAGAGGCTGTTGTGTCAGGATTAAGTGGGATAGTTGATTTTGGCATCAAGCTTCCCGTCTCAGCTGAAGTTTAATGAACAAGGCCATTGTTTTACTAGATGGTTGATATCTGTTGTCATCGCTTCTGACAGGGCGATCAGGATACTCTAAAATCTGACCCAGAGAGGGCAGCAAATCACAGCTTCTCAGCCTGATGTCACAGTGTTGAAGTACTATCAACCGTTCATCTGCAATGTACTGTTTTTATTGGCTGCTGTATTGGACTGCTGCTTTACCGGTACCTTAATTGGATGTGACAGAACTCCAGTCAATGGCATACAATACTAACCACATTACATGTATGACGTCATAACGTACTTGATCTGGACTAAGTTACATAGAGGTCCAGCTAGCTCTCCTCTCAATACTTGAATGAATATGAGGCAGAATCAGACATGATGTTGCCAGTTGGAAGGCTGGTGTTTTTCTTTATATCTAGTTTGAACCATTTTTAGGTAGTTGTTTTAGGACTTTAACTCCCTATAACCCAAAGTTGGGTGATAGTTCAGGAACACCAAGCCTGCACAGAGGAGCATGTAGGTCTAGCTAGCTAATCAGCATTTTACTCCCGTTTTACAGGAGAAGCTGTCTGAGACTTATTACACCCAATTAATATATATGTAAAATTATTCTAAAGCCTTTTAAACGTATCATACTACTTATTTATTTTCATCCCAGAGTGCTGCAGCTTTTCTTGCTCCCGTTGAAGCCTCTCCACAAAGAAAGTTCAAGTACAGACATCATTAAACTGCAAAACAATGTAATGCAAAGCTATATATGACTTGAGAATATATTTGGGTAACTTTCTGACCATCCAGGTACTCTTATTACTGTACATATGTGCTTGGTAAATACATTTCCTTAATTTAATTCAGCATGAGTACAATGCAACAATAATATATTGCAACACGTGAGTTACAATTGTCAGAACATACTGTACAGGCACATAGAATAGTGAAGACTGATGTAAACTGTGAGGTTTTTCTTTTTTTTTTTACTTGCCCTTGTTTGTTTCATTTCAGTGCACAGTGAGGGTTTGAGAAGAAGAACTCATTGTTCTATCTATGCCAAAACCAATGCAATGTCACTCTGCACTAATCATGTGTAAGATGCATTAATTTGTTTTATGTATTTCAGTTTAATCGTTTTTGAATATATATTTCCATATTCTATATATGTCTTTGTTTATTTTTTTATTTCATAAACCACATATATTCTATTGACATTTTCTAATGGCTCTGCTCTTGGGCTCAACTCAAGAATTACCAATATGGAAACTCAGGGACTGTTTTAGTTTAGGAGTCAGTTGAGAGATTCAAGACAACGCAGGGATTAAATGTCCATCCAGATTAAATCAAGTTTAGGATAAAGAAGTTAAAGTACTAAATGTCAAAAAGGGAGCATGGGACCATCTTGGTATAGGTTATTTCTTCTTATTGGATAATTATTATTTTTTAGACATAACTAAAGCAGTTTATGTTGAGATTTACAAACTCTGACTTTCTGTGCACCCAGTGAGTGATGATGTTCTTCATGTCCTCTTTTGCATAACATGAAGACAATATTGTTGTAATTTTTCCTCTGTAATCGTTCTAGATGGGGATATAGTTGAATATTGTAAAGGGACTGGGGCTAGTAGTGTTTAATCGTTGTCTCATCTCAACATATTAATGGTGTTCCAGACTATCAGTGCTTATGACAAAAAGAATGTGTCACAAAACTTAACATTCAGAAATGACTTCATATCTGATGCTAAGTGATGCTTTATACAAGTTTTCAAAATCTAACGAAGTATAGGATCAAACACAGTTTTGATCATTCCGCTCAGGTTGTGAAAGTTGAAATGTGCTAATGGAAGTGCCACCATTTGGTAAAACCCGTTCTTTGCATTCTAATTTCGATATACTAAGACTTGAACAGTTTGTTTTCTGTCACCTGACTTTTGGTAACTGACAGCACAGACTACCTCTTTTTTTTTTTAAAACTCCGATTTAGTCTACTAGATAAGAGGTGAATTCAAGTGTTGTCATCGTGGCAGTATTCTGCTTTAGTTTCATGTTATCATTTTTTAAACCTGACATTGTGATTGTAACAACCCTGTCTGACCCCTCAATTGTGTTATTGTGATTGTATTGTTGGGTGTTAGATGGGTTGGGTTCCTTTTTAAAGTCCTGTGGCTTATGAGACTTTGTGCTCAGGGTTTTGAAGCTCCTTGAGGGATTTTTCTTTATATGTGCTTATCATGTTTTTGACAACCAGCTGCTTAATTTAAGTTGCTGTATTTTACCAGTTAACTGGCTAAGGCATCTTCCAAAAAATGTGCATTTCTTCATGATGAATGTATAATTGTTTACTGCCATAAAACTACAGTTATCTTGAACTCAGGCAATTTAATGGCTAGTTTGTCAGCATTGAACAGCATGTAGGATTCTCAAAGCGCTAATGGTGATTATGTTTCTTTATGTAAAGATCTGCTTCATTTCTTAATAAATCAGTTAATATTAATGTATTTGTGCCATCTTGTTATTCAAAAAATTGTGCAGTCATGTATTGATTAAACATACTCTCTTTTTTAAATTTTACATATAAGGAAATAAAAAAAAGACTGCTCCACAACATGGGAAGTAACATTTTCAGTTAACATTAAGTAAATTTCTGCTTTTGTCAATAGAAACTGTGCGTGAAGTTTCTCAGGTTTGCTTTCTGTGAAAAGTAATTCCGTGAACTGACACCTAATCATTTCATTTTCGTTTTCGCTAAGGCCTGTCAAGGTTTTTTTTCTCCCGCAGTACTGCCTTTATCCACCAGGATGTTCTCTGTTTACATTTTCGTTGACACGACCCCGTGAGTAAAATCCAATATGGCGGCGCCTTAGTGAAAACAAGCTAAACCTATTGCTTAACTTTAAAATATTACTCAGAAGCTGTGTTGGTTATTGTCTCTGAGGTAGAAACCGGTGAGGAAATGCGGTTGCCGTTCCACACCGTGCGTTTAACAGGCCAGACAGTTTGTCGAAGAAGCTCTGCAGTTGCTTTGCTGAGGTGTTCAGGGCAAAGAGATGCTAACGTTTCTCACTTCAGTCATTCAGTGGGGCGCTGCGCGTCCCAGGCACTCATTTACAGAAGCCACGGAGACCCCTGTCGAGTCGTTCAGTAAGAATATCCGCCTAAATAGATAGTATCCATGTCAGTTTATTATGACCTAGTTTCCCTTCTTTTGTTGTAATGTATCTGTTTATGATTACCTCAATTGAACCCTAAATGTATGAATAAAAAATCCAGAATAACCTCACAGCCACTTTTTATTTTATTTTTTATTTATTTGACTTTATTTTTTTTTGTCAACTAGAAGCTAAGATATTTATATGATGTGTAAGTAATTATTTTTATTTGTCATTTTATGAACATATTTTTTGTTCATTTCTACTGGAGTCTAGTAAAACAATGGGCTCATTAGCTGTACTTGGAATGTGCTTTCATTCAAAGACATGTGATTCATTTTACCAAAATACCAAGTGTTTAATTTCCTCTCTCTGATAATTTTTAACCGGTTATCAGGTTGGAAAACATAGACCTGCCCCCAGTTGGTGCAAAAGCTATCCAGGTTAAGATGCTGGCGACCCCAATAAACCCATCTGACATAAACATGATTCAGGGTATGTTTTGTCATTGTTATTTGTCCAGATAATACAGCTTTGCTCATTCATCAGCACTATTTTACAGAAAAATCACTGACCCACCACTCCAGTGAATAGATATTCTTCTAGCATTGTTTTCTCCTTTAGGTACATATGCCATACTGCCTGAACTCCCAGCTGTTGGTGGCAATGAGGGTCTGGCTCAGGTCATAGAGGTGGGCAGCCACGTGAAGTCTCTGAAGCCAGGAGACTGGATCATCCCCAAAGATGCTGGACTTGGTAAAATAAAACTTTTGACAAAACAAATGAGCCAACACACTTCATTGTAAATAAATGGTATGTATGGCTTTGTGTGAGCAGGCATGTGGAGGACTGAGGCTGTGTTTGCAGAGGATGATGTCATCTCACTACCAAATGATATTCCCCTACTGTCTGCTGCAACTATTGGAGTGAATCCCTGCACCGCCTTCCGGATGCTCTCAGACTTCGAATCGTTGAAACCAGGTAATAATTTCCATAGTCTGGCTGTAATGTCTCCTTTAAGGAAAATGACTCACCCTTTTGGTCTAACAAGTAGCAACTCCGCCTTTCAGTAGCAACAGCAAAATGTGGGGGAACTTTCTTTTGTGGTCTGTCACAATAATACTTAAATTATCAATAAGTATTTTGTGGGTAGCACAACAGTTTATGCATCACCTAAAAGCTTCCCTATGTGTTATGTGATTTTAGGTGATTCAGTGATCCAGAATGCAGCAAATAGTGGTGTTGGGCAAGCAGTCATTCAAATTGCTGCTGCAAGAGGAATAAACACTATAAATGTTATTCGAGACAGGTAAGTCAAGTGTAGAGATAAGTAGCTTTTTTAAATTAGAACCCCTCTTGTGAGAATAAGTAAATTTTTCTGAAGGCTAAAAGTAGTTTTTTTAGTGTGCTAATATGTAAAGCTGCATTTAACAACTCTCCATTGTATCGTTATTTTCAAAGACCAGATTTTAAACAGCTCAGTGATAGGTTGAAGGCCATTGGAGCCAGTTTTGTGATCAGAGAGGAAGAACTGAGGCGGCCTGAGATGAAGGAAATGTTCAAGGTTAGTGAGTATCATGATAGCTGTAAAAATATGATCACGTAGCATCGCTCCTGTTTTCAGTAATGAACTTTTTTTAAAGACCTGTGCAAAGCCTAAACTTGCATTAAATGGAGTTGGGGGGAAAAGTGCAACAGAACTGCTTCGACATCTACAGTAAGCATGGATGAATTATCTATGGTAATCATTTTACACTCCTGTGAAGCAGAAAACGGACTTAATGTTTTTGACGTCTGACTTCTTCTTACTCCAGGTTTGGTGGTACTTTGGTGACATATGGGGGCATGTCCAAACAGCCCGTGACTGTTCCTGTGGTAACAACTGTTTCTATTCTAGAATAAATTCTTTCACAACCTGAAAATATGTGCTCACATGCAAGCTTGTCTGACTCACAGAAAGCCGCTAACCAGAAGTTGTAGCGCACAGAGACACTTCTTAATTGTGTTTATTTTCTGTCTTCAGAGTGCTCTCATTTTCAAAGATGTGAAGGTAAAAGGTTTTTGGGTCACACAATGGAAGAGAATTCACTCTCATGGTGAGTTTTCATGATATATTGAATGCAGAAAAAAAATCAAGGAGGAGTGTTTTTTAAAACTTGGTTTGTCATTCTTAGATGAGATGCCATTTAGAGCCATGCTGGATGAATTATGCTCCCTAATCCGTCAAGGAAAGCTGACAGCTCCTGCCTGCACAGAGGTTGGACTTCAAGAGTATCACAAAGCTTTGGATGCCGCCATGCAACCTTTCATATCCAGTAAACAGGTTCTGATTATGTGAACTGGCTGATCAAACAACCGAGGCATCGTCATGACAAAAGTGTAGAAATTCTAAGTGCAGCCTGAGGACTGCCGTGTTACTGTCAGACGAATAGAGTATACCAGCACATATTTAATAAATAAGTTTGCTCTTCAGGCTCAAAGTCCAGTTTGTGTTACATCATGTGTGCAATAATAATTCCAAGTTTGAAGTTTACTGGAAGTATTAAAAGTCAACACATGGTCACATGAGAGTACTCCTGAATTTTATTTTTATGGTCCTACATATGAGGAAAATATAATTTTTTAAAAAGAATATGATCCCAAACATCTCCTAAAGTAAGCAAATACCACTTATATAGACAACATGAGACAAATTACAGTCTGGGGCCTATTTGAGGAAAAAGCCAAAACAAAAGTAGACTGTGAGTTCAAGCACCAAATGATGCAACAAAACCATCTTCAGCTGCGAAGGGTTGTGTTTTGCATCATTCTCCGACTTTGTCATGGAGGACTTTTGTCCCGATACTCTTTACAGCATCATTCCAGTTAATTAAGATAAACCGTTTCCCTTTCTGTGGCGCTCTCTTAAGGTCCCAACTACATCTTCTTATCAGGTGGAGGTGTGAACTTTGACTGGACCATTGCAACACATCAATTCTTTTATCTTTCCGCCACTCTGTTGTAAACACACAGACAGACGGCTTCTTGTTTGAAATCAGAATACTTTACTGTACAGAAAACTTCAGGATTGTTTTTACAACTATGAGGTCTCTTAGTCCTGTGCCAGGAAGAGGTGTCCAAAACACCAGCTTTCAACCTCTCCAAGTGGTTTGTTCCTTTTGGATGCTTTCTGAGTCTCTTGAGCCCTAAACTGCATGGTCAGTTTAAAAAAGATCTTATAACTGTTCTCAAAATGATGAGCAACAGCAATTGCTCTTGTACGATTAGAAAAAGCACTAACTGATGGCTTTCCTCCTTGGATTTGTGTTGTTAATTAAGACTGCAGACCAGCAAAGGCCGAAGCTTCTGCTTTTTTTCAGAAGCTTTGTCACTTGACACACATCATTTCTGCATGAAAAAAGTAGTTACATAGGGTAACATCCTGGAAACCAAGATATTATAACTTTATTTGTTGAGTTCAGCAGCTGATTGTCTTCTTACATGGACTATTATGCAGTAAATACTTAACACCACAAAAACATTTTCATAATGATGTTCACAAAAATACTTTTAACGGCAAGATTTGCTGATTGGAGAGGTCGAATTTGACAAAACATTTGACAAAAGTCTAAATCACATAGTTGGTGATACTACTGTGTGATGAAGGACGAGATTACAATCTTTTTAAGTATTTTAAAGAAAATGCTTTAATAATGGTTTAATAATATTTTGAGATATAAGTTAGACTATTTATTGGTGTCTATTAACTGACAGAAGGAATTCATCTTGCGCTTGAGGGTTTAGATTGTAGTTTTTCTGTCCAGGAGTTCAAAACTATCTTTGCCTGCATTGTATCTATTTACACAGTAAATAGCAAAATTGACTTTCAGCCTGTTTTGCTTCAATAGATAAACTTAAAAATCATTTTGATGAGAAACGGTCTTTTGGATAACTTAAACTGCCATCTTATGTACAGTCATTAGAGATTGTTTCCATTTAAGCTTGAATACAGATCAACCGTCGCACAGATGATCAGTACCAACAGGAAATCACCAGACTTGCAGCCACAGAAAGGATCACCAACATTCCACCATGAATGGAAACTGCCTCTTCTTTCACCAGACACTGTTCGTACCTCTCAAAGTCTACCTCTCTAGCTGCACATACATGGTCAACACGGCAGTCACTGTCACAGTCTGTAAGGTCGTAGAAGACGGAGTTGAAATGATAGTATTTTTGCAGGTAGCAGGGATCGGTGGCTATTTGTTCCAGAACCCGGTGCATAGAGGCTGGAGAGGCATCTGGCACTCTGAAACTTTCCGTGAGCCGATACTCTTTCTCCCATCTTTCTGCGTCTGCATTGACTTGGGTGAGGTTCATATAATACGTCACCACATCCTGTTCATGCAAGTGGTTTCACGAAAAAAAAAAAGAACCAGAACAATGAAAGCATTAGAAACAGTTTCAAGAAATGACACAATACTTTGCTGTCTGTATGTTGCAGCTTAGAAGAACATGGAAATTACTTTCTATAAAACAACCATTACTGACTTTGACCAGGAGAGTGTCTCTGTCATATTCAAAAACACGAATCCCAGGGTTATTTGCTCCATTGACCACTCCAGGAAGGGTCGTTTCCCACGGTGTGACTCCAGGGCTGAGAAACATTGTGCTTATAGGTAAGCCTGTAGAAAAAAGGAGAAAGATTATATCATTAACACAACTTTATATTAGCGCACAGGGTGTGAGATCAGCTGCTATTCCATTGGTTATATAGAAAACAAAATTCTGTTTTAGTCCGTTGCTGATACAACATAAGTAACCGCAGCAGTGTACACAATGAAACCTACCCTCTGCATTGTAGAACATGCGGAAGCTGTCAGTATGGTGATGGCCAAAGAACTGACCAATGATGACAGAATGGTGCTTCAGAATTATATCCAAGTAAAGCCTGTTGAACCTCGATGTGAACCAGGGTTTACTTCTTTTCTTTTCAAAGAAACCGGGGGGCACATGACCAATGATGTACACCTGGTAGACAATAACATCACACAGTAAGCCCAGCAACTCAAAGAAAACCTGACACTGTAAACAGACACTGAAAGCAAATTTTAAAATAAGGTTAATCCAAATCTTGTTCAAAAATAAGAATATTTTTACTTTTGAATTTAGTCAAACCTGTAATAAGTTTTTTAAAAAAAAGGTACTTTGCCTTCTCTTTGTTGTTTGCTGCCTCTGTAAGAATACGATCCAACCAGCTGAACTGGCCTGCTGGGTCATCCGAGTTCTTGGTCTCCTTGTTTTGGTCGTAGTAGAGGTTGGTGTTCAGGACCAGCATCCTCAACCCTGCACGGTTCAGCAGCCTTTCTGTGTAATATCCGCCTGTGTAAGGATTGTTTAAAAAAATCAGGTTTTATTATTTTTGCTTGAGGCTCTTCTAGTGACATATATAATCAGGAGGAGTGTCCGTTTCGGTTCACCTTTTTTAAATGTTTCTCTGGACGCTGGATCTAACCACTTTTGCCACATATCTGATATCCGGTCATAGATATAGTTTGGGGCTCCAGGAAGCTGACTCTTGGGGTGGTAGTCATGATTGCCCAAGGCAGAGTAAACTTTAGTGTCTAAAGAAGGAAAAATGCCAAAAACTTCAAACACTTTAAGTTCATAGTAAATATTCACTTTGCATTTTATCCTCTATAAATATGTTATTTTTCTTTTACTTAGTTAATCACAAACCTGGAAACACCTCAGTTAGGAGGTGACTTAGGTTGCCCACAATGTTGACCACTGCCTCTTCTCCGAGATCCTCATTTGGCACATGTGGTGTGTCATCTCTGTTTTATAAAACAAGATTTGTTTTTTTCATGACGAACCACCAAGAAAGAACCATGATTCTAGTGCCAAACGTCTGAGGATGTATCACTCCAACTGAGAAGTTGGGTTCCCTCAGCTGTGCAATAGCCAAGACTGTCTTAAGTTGTCTTTTGAAAGTCATAAACATGAGGCTCGTTATTTGTATACAGACTTCAGCCAAACGACATAAAAACAACACCTCTGCAGAGAGCTTACATACCCTGTCCATACAATAAAGTCGGGATCTGGGAGAATCTTCTTCATAGCATACATAGAGGAGTTGATGAGTTCCCATGGTGAGTCACACACATAGTCTCCAAATTTACCAGCACCGGATGCGGGTCTTTTACCGCTGGACGAGCATACAAGTTCTGGATTGTCTGTCAGTTTGTAAGTTGGGTCCCAATGCAAATCCGTGATATGCCAAAAGCGCCCTGGACAAAAACGACGCGTAATTACGCACAGTAAGTCCTGCCTGTGTTTAGAGCGGAGATGCGTAAGAAATAATTAAATACGATATGGTTCAAACATTTTTGATACTCACCAGTCAGCGCAAACGTCTCTTTTAAAAGCAGACAAGATAAGAGCAACCTTACTGGAGACATGTTAACAGCCAGCACCCACCAGAAGCCACGGCGTGGTTTGAAGGGTAAGTCCATAAAGGCCAAAGATGAATAAGATTGCCAAAGCTGTAAATGACTTATCTTTGCTTGGAATGTGCATCATTTTACTACAAGTGCCAATGTTTCTTCATTCATCCACGTGATAAATTAACTCAAGGTCCCGTCAAATGGATGAACAACTTGGACAGCAGATGCAATAAAAGACGACCATGTATTTGAATTTGATATACAGTTCAACCAATATGATGCCATTATGTTCACTTTAAAAGATTACTTCAGAGAGGATAACATTGGCTTCATGTGAGAATGCCATGAAAGGTAATCAGCTGGTGAATCATTGCAGCCAAGTGCCAAATCCCTCCCTGAATACTATTTTTATAATGGCTAAAGGGAGTAGATAACAGCTGTCCTTTAAAGCTTGCGATAGTTTTGCATAGAATAAGCCTGAATGCTTTCACCTTATAAACTTGATATTAGTTACTCCACAGATATTAAAACGTTTCCATTCTTGTAAAGTCGACAACAGGCCAGGACGCAAGAGTCATGAATAAGGCAACGGTGTGTTTATGAGTGTGCCTTTGCAATACCATGGTGTCATTTTTTAATTACAAAGCTGTAAGCGCTGACATTAGGAAATCGGTTATATTGCACAAAAAAATCCAAACAAAAACATTGCCCCATGTGCAACTTCCAAACAGTCAATGCGTACCTTATCTATGTGTGCCGAGTGTGCGGCTTTCTTAAAGTTGTTCTCACATCAAGGGGAACAGAACATTTAAGGGGAACATAACTGCTTTTACAAGAACCGTATTGGTTATTTTCAGATAAAAAGGGGAATGGCTGTCTGACAGGCAAAACCCCGGGCTACAATTTCCCTGCTCGCACCGCGCAGTCTCTTGTAGTTTCGCGGGATTTATGAATTGCGCATGCGCCATGTTGAGTTCAGCGCGCGGGAGTCAGCAAGCGAAACATACGTGGTGTGTCTAGTTTACAGCCCGACTTCTGAGTGGCATCAACTTTACTCTGTTGTAATCATTTAAATACGACTTTATAACATGTGGAATCAGGGTGAGTGTAATGCACACGCTGTTTTTTCACTACGTGTTGAAAGCGGCTCGGTGGAATTCTTGATGTTGTAAGGTTAAGGCTAACGTTAGCTTGGCTACAGGGTTGTTTCAGTGTTGTTGTAAGTCAGTATTGCCAGTAGTAAGTCCTGCACTGTCTAAACGAGAATAAACTAAACTTTCATTAACTCTGACTACTTGTTTTTATATTCAGGAGGATACAGTGATGCTGGAATGGGTGGGGGTTACACGCAGTCTCCTGGAGGCTTTGCATCACCTGCCCTGTCCCAGGGAGGAGAAAAGAAAGGGGTCTGTATCAAAGTTAACCATGTAAAACTGCAGTGCTTTAAAGATAAAAAAGATGAAGTGAGGAATACAGCTCAATAGAAGCGAAGGGAAACAGGTTAAACTGGATATGTCTTTCTCAAACTAAACATAAACAATAAGTAATTTTTTACATCCAATAAACTTTGTAACTTTAAGGTTATTGAATAACCTTCCCACCACACGTTTATAGGGTAAAAATACTAATTGACAAAAAATCTCCTGCAGTACAGATATGGTGCAGCAGTCATTTTGAGTGCGTTTTTCACTTTTGCCTTTGTCATTATTCTAGAGAACCCGTGCCACACAAATAATCCCCTGCTCAGTGTCTCAGCTCATGTCTGCATCACAAGTGGATGAGGCCTTCAAAGTGGGAGAGGTGGAGATTTCACAGGTGAGCCCAACCAAGTCGGGGTGAAAGCTTCATCACCAATGGTGAAGCAGTTAATAGTTGATCCGATAGATCGTCAAAATGTGAATCAATTTACAAAGATATTACTTATAACTGACTGCATATGGCTGGCAGGGCTTTCAAGATACCCTGTTTCACCACGTAAGAAAGAAAAAATATATACATATATACAGTATATATATTTTTTCAAACATGATATTTTGTCTTGATCTTTATGTCAGATCACCATTGTTGGTATAATTAGAAGCACAGACAAATCCATGACCAACATCCAGTATAAAGTTGATGACATGACCAGTGCTCCCATGGATGTGAAGCAGTGGGTGGACACAGAGGTAAGTGACAGCTGTTTTAGCTGTGAAGGCAGGGAAATCTTAAACATGAACTAACCTTGAATAAGTTGTTTGCTTAGTTGACTACAAGTTCAGTTTTAATAGCTGATTGAACTTTTTTGGTTGGTTTAAACAATAATGACAAAAATCAGTCACAACTGGTCAAATCACCAACGTACACAATAAAAAGACCTGATTAATCCCCCCTAACGAATGATTAAAATTATGCTAAAATGATTGAAAAAATTTGATTTCTTATTTTGAAAAGGTAAACGATTTTTGGTAAAGACATTTCCAACCTCACCCAGTGTATACACGTTTGTTTTTTTTGTCTTTTTTAGGACCCAAGTGTGGACAGCAGTGTCCTGCCCCCTGGAACATATGTGAAAGTTTCCGGAAATCTGCGTTCATTTCAGGTGTTACACCAAATATGAAGCGTTATAAACCCTACAAAATTACTTTTGTATGTAAACACTGAATCTAGCTGTAGTGACACTTAGGACGGCGGTCCTATGCTGACATCCAGGAATATATCTGCAGATGTTTATATAGCTATTTAGACAACCTTGTTCCACCTTCAATTAATTTGTGTCTCTCTCCTTCTTCATGTCTCAGAACCACAGATCTGTAGTAGCGTTCCGAGTCCGAGCCCTGGAGGACTTGAATGAAATTACTTCACACATGCTGGAGGTCGTCTATGCCCACATGGCGCTCAGCAAACAAGCCACGGTGAGGAGCTGCATGACTTGTCTGTTGTTAAAAATATGAATAGTCCTCATTGCCGTGAACATTTGGTCTCTTGAGGCAGTTCTAAGAAACCCAACAGACATGACATTTCCTCAGTGATGTACAGTCAAGCAAATCCACACCTCATTTGGTTGTGTAAAAGTAAATACATTTATTGAAAGCAACGAAAATAGGTTTGTTCTTTTTCCTGTCATCTGCTGCCCGTGAGAGACTAAAAGTCCCTCCTGAGGGGGAGTAAACTTTTCAGTAAACCTGCACTCACATTTAATGCAACCTTTTTGGACTTTTTCTGAAGCAACGTGCATTTTTTAAAGCATTGTCTGTATTCATTGTGCTTCCGCAAATGGCACTCAAAGATCAAGCCCATTTAGTTATTATCTCAGAGGAATTTGTTGCGTTGACATGTTCATTTTCGTGGGTGCCCACAAAATGCATCAGCTCACACTAAAGATTCACACCCACACAATTTCCATTTGTTAAATAGTGTTATTTACCAAAGGTCATTTTCTCAGCTGTTTCCTGCTGATTTGATCATTTTGGGGTTTTTTTGGTTCTTATTTTCTGCCATGAAGAACATTTGTGGCTGCATAGTTGATGGTTTATTTCTCTTTCAGTCAGGAGGCGGCACAGGAATGAGCAGTAACAGCATCCTTGTGTCACGGCCGGCCACACAAGGGATGGGAGGAAGCTACACAGGCGCTAACGACATGGTCAATAATGGCTTAAGTGCGAATCAGAACCAAGTAAGCAAAAATAACCACACATCCACCAGAAGTCCCCTAAGATTTCACCTTTTTCTGAGGAAAAATTGTTGACATAAATGTATTACTTATAAGACCTTCAATGTTAAAGGGGGAGTGACTGGGGTATAACAATGTCTCTTTGTTTTGCATGTCTGTTGTTTTTCTGACTCGTTCTGGTCTCTAACATGTCCATTTTCTATCTTTACCTCTAGGTGTTAAGTTTGATTAGAGGCTGCCCAGACCCGCAGGGCATCAGCATTCAAGATTTAAAGCACAGACTTGGTAGCATGAGTCTTGCTGTAATCAAGTAAGAGTTTTATTTTTTTTTTTTTAATGTTTTTTTCTTTCTTTCTAAGAGGGGTTTTATTACAAGTTTCTCTGAACAGAAATGCCTTTGTGGTTTTCTGCCGCCGGTGAACAGAGAAGTTACGGTCAGAAAAACAGAACTTGCTGTTTGCTAACCCTTCCCTCAGGGACTTCTGTGAATCAGAAAACGGATGAGCTGAGTTTTTAAGAATCTACGAAGAAACTAAGTTGAGACATATTTTCCTTACGCCAAAGATTCAATCAACACACTTTGAAAAAATAAATGATTCAGTGACATGAACTGTACATTCAAATAGTTCTAAACTCCCTGTTATAGACTTAACTTCTTACCTTCATCATTTTCAAACCATAAACATTAAGGCTATTTCAATAAAATTGATTAAGGTATAGAATTCATAACATTTTTCTGTAGAAAGATTAAAAGAAAGTTTTAACCATCCTCTGTCTGCAAGTAAAAATGTGCATTTGTTTCCTGGAATTGAGTGCCTGTGCAGATCTCCATGCAAACAGAAAGTGGAGATGTGATACTTAGCTTCCCCATCTGGATGAAACTCCTCTACCTAGACAGGTGCTCATTCCCACCCCGGTTATGGCATTCCAGCCTTTTCTGGTTGAGAACAGTAGCCTCAGATTTGGAAGAACAGACCCCTCATCCCGCCCGCTTCACAGGAACTTTCAATATTTGCTCACTTTTGAAAAAATATTTTTAAACCAGCTGTAAGAAACATTTCCAGTCATGCACTTGGAAGCGAGAATTGAAAGTATGTACAAAAAACAGGAAGCATTTACACTTTTAAACATTTTAAAGATGTATGCGGGCACAAACTCAAAGGCCCATCTGTAAAGTTTGGTAGTTTATGATGGTTGTCTTTTGGTTTGTTAGTTAAAATGAATCAAGACCTTATTTTGTCAAACTGACACGGTGAAAACATTTCTTCATTCTTTTTCTTACTCTTCTTTGTTCTTTTTTAGGCAAGCAGTGGACTTCCTCAGCAACGAAGGACATATCTTTTCCACTATCGACGAAGACCACTTCAAATCAACAGACAATGATGATTAGGCTGGTCCACTTTCGTATCTGGTTACTTTTTTGAATACAAGAAGTCAGAAAGTTAGAGTAAATAATCCACAGCCATTTTTTAGGGGGTTTTGGTTTCCACATCCTGTATCGTGAGGTTTCTTCTGATATATTGCATGTTAGTTGAGTGACCTGCTAAAATGCTAATCTTATCTTTCTGTTTGAACCCTTTTTTTTCCCTCCTGTAAAGATTATTGTTGATTAAAGATATGGAATTCAAGTACTTCCTTTTGTTTGTAACTTACTTTTGTTAAAAAAAATAAAGAAAATATTGCACAAACAAATGTTGATATCTCACGCGTGTTGAAAAAGTTCCTAAAATCAAATAGAAATAAGTAATTGATGAGCAGTACTTTTAAACTTTGTGTTGCATATGAAATTTGACTTTATTATTTACATCACAAATACAACGGAAACATGGTCCCATGTTTTATTGTTTAAATACTTTGATTTTTAATGTGTGTATTAATTTACAGTATTTGTCAGCAAACTTGAGGCTGACTGTATCTAGATGTCACACATAGAAGCCTGTGAAAATTAACTTCTTTTTTTGGTTGCTAAAAATGTGTGAGCGAGCAAAGTTTGACTCTACATGACTGTAGTCATGGATATGAAAATAAATAAGACAAAATACTGATGTAAAGAGGAATTGACATCATTTAAAAAACTTTAGTTTGAACTGACTTTTTCTACACAATTCTAAATGACTCAGTACAATCTTGTGCAAAGTTTATGTTTAGTTTGATGTGGTGGAAAGATGGGCCTCTGTAAGCAGTCTGTTGAGGATGAGTTTGAACATTTACATAAAAAGTTAATTTACAAAGAAACATTTTTTTTCTCACTTCTGGTACACCAGTTTATGGGACCCTAACCCCAAAACTTACTAAATATAATCACTAAGTGTTAGTATGGATCAAGATAAATATAGAATCTTATATAAAACTGAGCTGTACTAGCATTTGGCAGGGGTCATCATTAGATAAAGTACTTTGAGGGGTGAAAAAGGAAGTCTTGCAAAGCATACAAGAAAATGCATCTAAATACTTGAGGATATTCTCACAAAGAATGTGTTTGCAGTATGTCAGCTGTGAGGATTTGGCAAGCTGTGAAGCTTCAGTTCTTGCGAGTTCTCAGTGCGGAGTATATTTTTAGTAGAACGTGACGCTCTCTTGTGCTGTCTTCATCATAGCCACCAGTGTGTCATCCACAGTTTCGTAGTCGTGGTCACTGTCCATATCTGCTGGTATGTCATTCCAAGGCACTGTGGGTGAAAAAATACAATTTATTATAAATACAAATTTTTAATGGAAGTTTTAGAGCAGAATATTTGCTACACGGGAAGGTCTTCTATGTAGAGGTCTTATTTTTCAACCACAACTTCCTTTTCTGAATTTTTCTACTTCATTATTTATGAAACCTTCCCAGAAAAAGAACAACTGAATTGACAAAATTATTTTCTTAACTAATTAAGGCCCAAAAATAAACTCTTGTATGGCAGAGTATGTCACAATCCATTTTTGATTTCCCCCTCAAAGTTTAATATCCAGGAAGTCAAAGTCATTCTGTATCTCATAAATTTAGTCTCCAACATTTCCCTCCCGATGCTATGAAGTAAAAATATGGATGCATCCATTCATGAGTATGGTCACACCAGAATGTGAGCGTTTTTTGCTCTAGAATAAGTCCATAGCTGGTGTGTATTTAGAATTGAAAGGCAGCATTAACACAGAATGGATCCTCACCTTTTCTCTGTGTCTGTGTAACATATGTGTTTGGCTTGGCCTTCACTGTTCCCATTCCAGAATCTGAGAGCTTTCGGGGCGCAATTGGTGGAGGTTCACAATCTAAGTCACCCTACAAAACAAGGGGGATTTGAATCATTAAAAAAAAAGTAAGCATTACTTAATCACTGTATTAGAAAACGCCGTGGAATATTTTGCCTCCCATTGTTTTGCAGGTAGTCATATCGTATGTAATGCTTCTAAATGTATTTCTCTTATTCTGTTGTTAACTTCAAATTTCAGCGAGAAACAAATAAAAAACAACAGTTTCATTCACATGTATTCAAGTGCATGATGGGAAAGCAACGCTTACCGGAGGCGGTGGAGCCGGGCCCTTTTTTTTATTAGTTAAAGTCAAAACGCTGAATTGATCCGTTGGGATGCTTTTCTGGGGATTATCTTTGGATTTCATCGACTTGTGGGGTTTCTTTTTAGATTTGGATGTGTGGGATGTCAAGTCCCGCTTTGGTGGTCGCGGTGGAGGAGCCTCATCAGGGTTACCCTTCTTGTGATACTCATAAAAGAAAGTGTCTGTGACCTCTAAAACGCTTTCTGTGCAGACCTTGGGCGGTTGATCTTGAGGCCCAGGCAGGGGGTCCTCGGTGAAACAGACTGACAGGGAGAGCCACTGGGCGGGGATCTGGAAACGTAAGTCAGGCCTGTGTGGGAAGCTCGCCTGGATGGTGGGCTCCATCAAAGCTCCCTCTATCCTGAGACTTGCAAACCCAACAAGTGGGTCAGTCTCCAGTTCAGTATCACGGCTCACCACTTTCACATCCAACGGCGAACTGAACTCCTTCATCAAGTCATCGAGTCTGTACTTCTTGTTATCACCGAGTACCTCCACAAAGTGACCCTGCATGTAAAGAGGCAGCAGGACCTCTGTTTTCTCAGTCTCCTCTCTCACCTCCTCTCCGTCTTCATCGTCATCCACATCGTTTGGGTCTGGAAGACACTGGCACAGCAGAGCTTCAATGGACTGTTTCTGGTCTTTTTCACAGGGCACCTCCATCCTACTGCAGCGGACAATCTCCAGCTGGTCCCCAACGCTGAGAGCCGGCAGGCCCTCCTCCTCCACTTCTTCACAGTTTCTTGTGACACTGACCTTCAAACCTGGCTTCTGAGTGGAGGCGACGTACAGTTCATAAACTGAATTAAACTCTCTTGGCCGCCTCCGCAAACGTCCACCATACTGCTGAGACGCAAGGAAGTACTGCTTTGTCTTCCGGCCCTTCAAGCTTGATAACAGGGCCATTGCCATGGTTCCTTTCTGGTGAAAGACCAGGCGTTGATTCTTGTTCAGCTCTGGCAGCCAGCTGCACTTGAACAGGGCGGGGGGCTCGGGCCCCTCTAATATCTCCATTACCGCAGGGAATGATTCATCCGGCTGAGTCAGGACCTCTGTTAGACTGAGGGGTGTCACAAAATGCATATCTTTAGATATATGTGTGACATCGACCACGTCTACCTCTAAGTTGGACGGGAACTTCAGCACGTGCTTCCTCACTGCAGAAAAAGATACCATAATTAGTTATGTAATAATAATAATATGATAATAATAGAAAGAATACAGAGAAACTTAAAAGAAATGAAGGCAGCATTACATAGCATTGATAAAACCTTTAAAACTCTTTAAGGTATGAATACTATCAGTATAATAGCTACGTAAGGAAAAACTGCATTATGTAACGTACTATACTATTGCAAGTAACTAATCTGATTCTTCTATTGAAGTTAGAACAAATTAACATTTTTTAACTTATCTACTGTTAGTGTATCACATTGAAATTACCTTTCTCTTGTTTACATTGAAATTTGAATCGGGAGCTCAACAAATAGTGGCATGCACCCAACATATGCCTTCATATTTGGTGTGAAACAAATTCCCTCAGGCAAAGTGCAAGTTCCCCCTTCCTACAACGGCTGGAGTGGAGATTTGGGCACACCCAAACCACCTCTGCACACTAGGCTTTTTAGCGATCAGATTTTAAAATGATAGTTTTTTTAAGATAAAGAAGGTTATTCTCACAGCTCATGATGGCGTGGACCTCGTACACTGGACTGAAGACAAGGGGCCGCTCATACTTTGTGGTGTTAACGAAGCGAAACCTTCGGCTACGCAGGCAGGGCGAAGACATGATCTCCTTCAGAGTGAAGCATTCCTCGCTTTCGCACTCGTAAAACTCCCCACGGGAAGACATGGGGATGCGCACTTCAGCCGAGACGTCGTCTGGCCCTTTCACATGGCACCGCACTTGATCCTCTTCACCCTCCCGGCGATCGATGGACAGCACAGTAAAAGTTCTCCCGCTGCCCAGACTGAGGGCACCAAGGGTCATCTTGGAGGAGCTTGTAAAAGTGAAGGGAAGGCTGGATTCTAAGCCCACAGGACGGAGGCTCAACAGCTCCTCCACTGAGTTGTACGCTATCGCTTCAGGGACCACTTTGAACAAGCCTGAACAACACAGCACATGTCAGCGAACAGCCTTAAAACAAATGCTTCCTTCTTATGAATCTCTGACCAACCTGTGTGGTTGATAGGCAGCACAAATTTCTCATTGCTGCTCACATCTTCACAGGAAACTGACAGGAGTTCAATACCAATGACTTTTATCAGATCCCCTGTAGAAAAGCACACTTCACTCCCAGAGATTTCATACACTGAACCTGAGAAATGGACAAAAGAAGAAACCGAAATATGATATTTGCACTGGATGGAATGTTTTCTTTAACTTTCCTATGAATCAGAATTTCTAAAATTCAAGTAATGAACGACTTCACCACAAAATAAATGTTCGGTGTCCACCTTAGCTACAGACATCTGCTCTATGATTAACAAAGAAATAACACACATTTGCAAAAAGAGAGAGTAAAAAAAACATAAAAATCCCAACACAACAATTACATTTTATCTTATCTCTTTATCTATATTCTTAACTCAAACTTTATCGCAATTACTTAAAAGAAGCCTCACCTTGAAAATAGACTCCAGAACAAACTTGCAGAATTTTGGGCAGACTATCATTGTCCAATGATGCAATGAATTCCTCAAGTGGCAAAGCAATGGTGTCTGCCATCACTGGCGCCTCGCTGAGCTGCAATGAAAAGGGAAGGCAGGCGGCAAACAGCAAGTGCTGCACTTGATTTTTTGCTTTTCTGAGATGCTCATACAGCAAAAACCACAGAAATGAATGAGGAAGTCACAGGAGTTGTCAGCACAACTTGTGCATTTGAGGCTGAGGCCATGAGCTATGACCTACTGTACTGGGGAAGCCTGAAAAATAAAGAGGAGTTTTAACAAATTGCAGTAGTTTATCGAGATGAAATGACTAGTGACTTGCTGTTCTTTTAAATTTCTCACAGCCTGCTTCCGGTGCCTAAATGCGTGAGTCTTACAGAGAGAGAACGAGGAGAGAGAGAGAGAGAGAGAGAGAGAGAGAGAGAGAGAGAGAGAGAG